TTTCGAGATTGTCTTTTGTTGTCGATTCCATTATTTCAAATTAGTATTACATGTCAGGTGAAAAGATTTTTATTGTCGGAGTATTTTTATTGGCTGAAAAATCACGTGGTAAGATCCAGTTTTTCCTCATTCATTTCCAGATTGTTTTGGTTGTCATCAGCATAAAACTAATGAAAGTCGTAAAGGTATTGTTTTTCTATAAAGATTTTTGTATCCCTAATTTAAAGTGAAAGTTCTATTGTTTTAGTAGTGGTCTTGTAGTAGTCTTGACTAAGAAAAATAATCTAAATAAAAATATATATTTTTAAAAACCCCGTTTTTTGTAGTGAAGAATAATATTTAAAAAGTAATAATTTTTAAAAAATATGTAATAAAAATTAAAAAAATTATAATTTAAAATAAAAAAATTCAAAATAAAAAATAATATTTTCAAAAACCACGTTTTTGTAGTGGAGAAAAATAATTAAAAAAAAATTTGAAAAACGAAAAACGTGGGACACATGAAATACATAACAGTACATATACACATTTTCTTACTCATACACATGCACAGCCACACATACATCCACATACATATGCATGTACACACATACATCCACATACATATGCATGTACACACATATTCCACATCCACATTCAGATACAATTACAATGACAGATATACATACACATATACTCAAGAGCACACACACACACACTAATTTAACATTACTGTTATGTATTTCATGCGCCCCACGTTTTTCGTTTTTCAAATTTTTTTTTAATTATTATTCTCCACTACAAAAACGTGGTTTTTGAAAATATTATTTTTCATTTTGAATTTTTTTTTAAATACTATTTTTAATATTTTCTATAAAGCATTTATTTTTATTGTTTAAAAATGCAAGAGTAAAAAAAAAGGAAAATAGGAAATTTCAATAGGTCAAAAATAGAAAAGTTCTGGTGGAAAGAGTCATAAAAAGAAATTTAAGTTGGACTTCAATGTAAATTACAAATAATAACAATTTATATAAAATAGATCATGTCCTTCATTGCATGTAAGAAGTTATCTCCAATGTATACGTTTCGTAAAGTTTAGTGTAGATTGCCTATTGATGTTTGTCTCTACTATTGCTTGTATTTTCATATGAATTAGTAAAAAAGGAGTAAATAATAGCCTCATTATGAATTTGGTACTCAGCATAGGTTGGGTGGCCACGCATTTCCACCTGTGGGCTTAGACTAGGATGCTTATGCATGCTTCCACTTTCTTATTTGTTAACAGAAATAGATGGGAAAACTATTCACTTAGGAAAAAGAAATTCCAATACTGATCAAAGAGCTACGTAATTTCAGCTGGTTAAATGCAAAATATAATGGTTGAAGAACGCTATGTGACTACACGGCTCAAAACTCAAACACACATTTCATGTAACGAAATCTGAAAGAGTCCGACTCTAAAACAAATTAGAAAAGACCCAGAAAGGCATTTAGAATCATGGGTCTTAATTTATCTGAAGATAGTAAACCTCCAAACCTCCTTAGTAAACACCTCCAAACCTTTTAACTTAGGTAAGTCAAAATTATCATTTCCAGTTGACTTATAATTGAAAGAAAATTTACAACTCAACTTTTGATTTACCAGTTGCATAAAACTGAGTTCTTGTCTAATTTTTTCTGGATGTTTCATGACACATTTACTCCTATTTCTCGATATATAGGAACATGCTATTCTAAATTCACACGATAAACATGATTATATACAAGGGGTGGACAAAATAATGGAAACACTAATGCGTTTACTCATAATCCTATCTATAAGTACTTTGATAATCATTTTAAAACTTCAGAAGTCTACTTTAGATAATGTGATTTCTCACACACATCAATGAAGAGTAAAGCTTTTGAAGGTTTGAGGGACTGTCAATAAATTACAAACAGACATTAGTGTTTTTAGACACCCTATGCCAAAAAAATGCAGTAATAAATTTGTAACTTGTAACAATAATTTTAATAAGTATATGCAATAATCGTACAGAATTTTGTAAGCCTAGCAAATATGTTTGGATATATGCATACCTAAATATTTCTGGAGATATGAACATTTTTAAGAAAAACCTATTTCTTTGTTTTCGTTATTTGCAATGACTTTAAATATAATCAGTAGAATTAATAAAAATTTTTTTGAATCAATTTAAAATTTAATTACAAAATTATTGCCTTAGAATTTGAGAAATATTTGCTGAAAACTGCATAAGATTTGAGTTATTAAAGTAGTTCTTTTTGCAAGAAATTTTTTTTAAATTTTTTTTTTATAAATTTTGCAGAGCATTTTGTAGTAGTATTTGAAAACTAATGAAAAAAGTCCAAAATGATAGGAAGTAATCTACAAATATTACGTGTCATAAGACAAAATTAAATTAAAAATGATGATACCTTACAATAAGTGTTCATACACCAAAATATGGTTGTATAAGGAAATAAAAACAAGCAAAAGAAAAATACTTTTATGGGGTATGATTCCCAACTATGCCGGCACTATTTTTAATAAATCTTGCTAAAGAACAATATAAAATTTGTGGAAAATCCTTTATCATTTTCAGTTTTGTTTTCCTTCAAAAAGTACAAAAACTATATAGAAAATTGCTCATTTTTTAAGATATGCAAATAGAACTTTTTTTAATTAGTTTTAAAATACAATTCACCACAAAATTAAAGAGAAAATATTTTTAATTTTTCCAGCGCAGATGCAAAAGAACTATTTAAATTCCTTATATCTTACAGAATTATAAACAAATTTTCACAAATTTTAAAGCAATTATGAAATTTTGAGCAATCATCATATTAATAACCAAAATTATTGTTACAAGTTACAAATTTATTGCTTTTTTTTGGTATAGGATGATCAAAAACAATATTTTCCATTTTTAATCTATTGTTGGTTCCTCAAACCTCTAAAAGTTTTAAACTTCATTGATAAGCATGAGAAATTGCACTTCTGAATTTATAAAATAATTTTTTAATTATCTTTTGAAAAAGATAAAAAAAAAAAAAAAATTGTTAATATAGAAACATTTCAATTATTTTGTCCAACCTCTGCATATATACGTGGGTGTGTAATGAATTTATTCATTCTCTAAAATTTGACTTTTTTAAAATTATTTAAAAAAGAGAGAGAAAAACTGAGCTTAGATAATGAAAACAATTATTTTCTTAATTATTCCATTCATTTGATATTATACGGATTACACTCATTTTTCTTTAATTAGCAACTAAGTAATTAAAATTTTTCTTTTAATGTTTCTTTAGAAACCATAAAATATTTATTATACGGATCACACTCATTTTTCTTTAATTAGCAACTAAGTAATTAAAATTTTTCTTTTAATCTTTCTTTAGAAACCATAAAATATTTATTACCATGAATTTAGGCTTAGGTTTGAAATCAGAACCCAGAGTCATCAGAGCAAACTTTGTAGCATTCCAAAGTTTATTACAGAAATGTCGATACCCTTCAACTCTGTTGATATCTAAATTAATATCTCGTCCTGAAATGAATCAGATTGCAAATCAAAATTTATAATTCAAATCTATGGTCACAAAGATTAAGAAACTTACTCATCCAAAAATTTATCAGTTCACAAATTAAAAATAAAATAGGGTTGCTTAATCTAAGAAAGTTAATAGGGCAGAAATAAACCAGAATGCAAATCATATTGTAAAAATGAAATCTGTGATCATTTAGGTTTGTGAGATTCTTCACGGCCTTTCTTTGAAATCAACCTGATAACAAATAAGAATTTTTAGATGAAATTGATGGTTATTCAAGCTAAGGTAACATTTACAGAAGTTGGCCAAAAAAATTAGGCTTTTAAAAATGAAATTAACAGAAAAAATTCAGTTTCATTTCGCTTAAAAAACAATATTCTGAAGAGGCAATTAACAGAACAAATTGGAATTTGTAAGATATGTTAATCAACTAGTAAACAATGTTATATTTTAACAATAAAAATTTCAATCATGTAATTTAAAATTACAATTGAAAGTCTTGAAACTTTGATCTAGAAACATGATCATTCTTTAGTTGTTTGTATCACAATAATAAACAACAAAAAAATTGGTAACATTATTTACAACACAATTTTTTTTAAATTAAAAGTAAATTAGAATCAATAATATAAGTATTTGTTACACATTGACATTGTATAAATGGTACATAAGACACTATACATATGCATTGCTTGTAAATTTAACTAATTTCAGCTTAACAAATGAAAAATGTTTTTCATGAAAAATGCCAAGCTATGTAGTCAAGTTATGCAGTTAAGCTAATAACAATAAAAAATTTTTTTAACTGAGTTAATATTTCAATAAATGGCTAACGGCTATTTTTGGTCAAATTGTCTCTTTCACATTAAACAATTCTGAAAGGCGTAATTAATATTACATTTAACACTAAATCACATTTCTCCGATAGAGATGTTTTACAGTAAAATAAGGGATAAAAAGAAACAATAAAGATTAAAATTATTCTAATCAATTTTATTTCTCTAAGAAAAAAATTCATTTTAAAAACATATTTTAAATTCAGTTAAAAGGAAGTTTTTGAAATGAAATCAAAATTTCAACAGCATTTATAGTTTTTAAAATTTATAAATGGAAAACATTTGTGTCAATGCAAATTACCTTGTGCAGTGTAAGCACATAAAGCAAATCTCAAAGCATCTGTTCCACATTCAGGAATGCCACTTGGAAAATCAGCTTTTTGACCCATTTTGGCTTTCTCAATTTCTTTAGGGTCAAGATTTGAATCTAATAATGTTGCATGTAAAGCCTAGGAATAATTAACTTTTAATAAAAAATAATTTTTTAAAAAAACATTCAGAAATACATTAATAATCATAATGAAAAAAAATTTTTTTTCACTGTAGAATATGTTTTATAAGCCAAAATTCTAATATTAAAGAAAAACATACATTAAATTGACACAGTTTCTAATAGCATTATTGCTGTGCTTTAAGGTGAGTTATTTACCTTCAAAAATCTTTAGTATCCCTTACCAACACAAAAATTAAATAAATAGGTAAACGGCAGCAAAAAAATAAAAAGTGTGGAAATATTCTTACGTAGTAAAATATATTTTTCACAATTATATATAAAAAAATTATTTCTCATAGTCTATTAAAGGACAAAAGACTTTCAATAAAATATATGAGAATTTTCGGAATCTTTTTAAAAAATTAATCAGCTTTAAACATAAAAAATAAATTTCTAATTTAGTTTTACTGCATTGAGAATAAAATACAAAAAAAATTTATGTAAAGCTAGCGGAAAATAGTACTAAGTGCATAACTAAACAAATTACCAAAATAAATACAACAAATTTTAAGTTTTTGAAATATTTACAACAACAAAAAAAAAAGATTTAAACATTATAACACCCTTTGCAACTCTTTCCTATTATAGACCTTTTAATAGATTTATTTTATTTTATATTCATACAAAATGTTTGACTAGTGATACTCCAGCAAACAAAACTGTGTAACAAAAAAAAATTTCCCTCAAAAAAAAAATAGAGAAATTATAAGATAAACAAAATTGAGTAACAATTTACAATTAAACCTGTTTTTAAACAAAACTCTAAACATTTTCAGATTACTGTCTTTTTAAGATCCAGATGTCGATATATATATATATATATATTTTTATCCAATAAAATTTTTTAAAACATTTGTCCAGAAAAAGCATGTCAGACTTTTTTTAAAGGAAAAAAATATTGCTTTCATATCAATCTGTAATAAAGGAACAAAAACAATTCAATAAACAATAAAAAAGTTACAAAACAGAAAAAAATAGAAGTCAGTATAAAACTTTTTCAATTATACCTCTAAAGATATTCCATTGATCATATCAATAGGATCAATTACATTTCCTAATGATTTGCTCATTTTTCTACCATGGGCATCTCTAACGATAGAATGCAAAAATACCTAAAAAGAAAAGTGATAAAAATAGAAATTAGTAAAGGTTAAAAAAAATAAATAATAATTAGGATATAAAATTCTGTGTTGTACAATATGAATTAAAAGATTACCTCTTTAAATGGTAACTGTCCCATTAATTGTATACCTAACATTACCATACGGGCGACCCAAAAAAATATTATATCATGACCAGTTTCCAAGAGAGTTCCTGGATAAAAGGCTTTTAAATCCACTGTCTGAAAAAGAAATAAGCAAAAAAGAGATATTAAGACTAACATTTAATATAATTATGGGTTTAAAATTACAGAAATTGCTTCAAATAAATGAATAAAATTTTTAAATTAAACAAATCAAACCTTTGAATAATGTATTTATAGTTGATACTCAAATTAAAGAATAATTTTTTTCCTGACGTACATATATTACAAAAATGCTATACAATATACTTTGAAAATACAGTCAAACTTGGATAATTCGAAGGTCTTTAATTCGAATTCGTGTATAATTCGAAGCTTTTCTACTTCCCTAGACACATGTATATTCAGTTAATGCTAAAAAATCTTGGTTATTTCGAAATCCAACTTCTTTAATTCGAAGTTTTTACCCTTTCAAAAATGACAAAATCTAGTTTAAATGCAGTTATTTTTGAAAAGTATTCTGGTTATTTTCAGCTATTATGGAAATTGTTTTAGGGATGACAAGGGGGAGGGAGAAAGGACGACGGGAAGGGTATTTCGAATCACGTGATAGGATGCATACATGTCATTGGTCGGAGCGGAGGAGAAAAAAATTGTCACCGGCTAGGCGAGTCTTCATGATCTTGAAAAAAGTTATGTCTATGTGAGTTGTCCTTCAAAGGTCATCGGGCAGTTGATTGACAGGTGTTCCTCCAATAGTGGTGCGTTTATTTTTTTCATGAGATCACCTTGCATCCGACTCCGGGAAACTGGTGTATAATCACGGCATTAAACACTAGGACTGTAGTCGGCATTACTTGAGTTTTCTACATTGTGATTTTAGTTTTGTAGTGATAGTTCAGTACCAGCATGTCATTTAGTAAGCCCCGTGTGCCGTATAAAACCTTATCTTTCGATGTAAAAATTGCTGTAATTCGAGAAGTAGAAAAGGGTGCAAAAAAAATGCATCATCGAAGAAGAGTTTGGAATAGCGCCTAACACTCTTTTGACTTTTTTAAAAAATAAAGAAAGAATTTTGAAATCTAATGGAAATCGCAAGCGAGCTAGAGAGCCTGATTATCCTGACGTGGACGAGTGTGTTGCAAAGTGGTTTAAACAAGCAGGGGACAAGAACATCCCTCTCAGTGGAACTCTTGTACGTGCAAAAGCTGAAGAATTTTCCATCAGTTTAGGTAACAGCAGCTTCAAGGCAAGCTCCGGATGGTTAGACGGGTTTAAAGAAAGAAATGCAATTTCTTTCAAGTCTGTGTTTGGGGAAAGCTCAAGTGTGAACCAAGGTGCAGCTAATGAGTGGGAAAAAAAAGTTGCCGAAATTATTGAGTATACACAGGACAGAGACATTTTTAATGTCGATGAGACAGGACTTTTTTTCAAATGTACCCCTGCAAAGACTCTTACTTTTAAAGGTGAAAAATGTAGTGGTGGAAAACATAGTAAAGATAGAATCACCTTACTTGTAGGATCAAACATGGATGGCACAGAGAAATTACCATTACTAATGATCGGAAAATCACGAAGTCCAAGGTGTTTCAAAAATGTCAAATCAAAGCCTATAGAATACCTTTCTAACACAAAAGCATGGATGACGGCGCATATTTTTGAAGAATGGCTACTTGATCTAAATCGCACATACCAAAGAAAAAACAGAAAAATCATCCTGTTTATTGATAACTGCACTGCTCATAAATCGATACCCACTATGGAAAATATCACGGTTGTTTTTTTCCCGCCAAACATGACATCAGTGGTGCAACCAATGGATCAAGGCATCATTAAAAATCTGAAGCATTTTTACAGATGTTTAGCCGTTCAACACCTCCTTACTGAATCTTCCCAAAAGCTTCCTATTACTCTCCTCGATGTTTCAAGAATGTGTTTAAATGCATGGTCCAAAGTCAGCCAAAAAACAATAGCAAATTGTTTTCGGAAGGCAGGATTTATCAGGAACACAGTCCCGAGCGAACTTTTCAATGAAGAAAATTTACCTCTCCCAGTTGCATGGGAAGACAACATTCCGTTCGATGATTACGTCAGTATGGATGAAAATATAGACATTTGTGGAGAATTATCGGATAAAGATATTCTATCTGAAATTCTAAACAATAAGAATATTACAACAGAAGACGAAGAAGATATTGAAGATGATGTAGAAGAACAGAGGCCAATTCCAACTTCAAGTGAGGCAGTCGTTCATTTATCAGAATATCAACGCTATGCAGAAGGACAATCTGACGTAAGTGAAGCTGTGTTTAGAGCTATAAATATTCTTGAAGATTTTGCTAGAAAAAATCAAGAAAGCTCTTTAAAGCAATCTGATATAGCTAAATATTCTAAAAAATTGTAACGTTTTTATTTAAAATTAATAAACAATCTTTGTTTCGCACTTTCTGTTACGAGTAATTATTTTAAGACATAAAAATAACATTGTTTGGATAATTCGAAGTTTCGCAGAGGCCCCTTGCCCTTCGAATTATCCAAGTTCGACTGTAATAAAATTGACAGCTTAGTAAGAAATTTTAAACATTTCACTAATTTTTTTAACAGAAGATCAGGCCCACCTTAAATAAGTTTCTATGTGGATAGTTCTTCCTTAATTTAAAAGGAGCTCCAGATGTTTAAAGTTCATTGTTTAAATAGGGTAACATCGAAAGAAATAGATATAATAATTTTTCTTAGGTTAGTGCTGTCAAATGAATAATTTCTGTTGGCATTTTGAATGCTACCAAATGAAACATTTTTGAATAGAAAATAATTAATCGCTATAATGGAAGTCATCCTAAAAAATATATTCCAGATAGCAAGACAACAATGAGACTTGAAGTTCCAGCATTTGTATTGAATAAATATTATGTGACAAAATCCTAAAAAAACAAAGACAACCCAAGTTTTGTTGCCACTTACATGAAATTGTAACTGAATTTATAAATTCCATTCTGACATGTATATGAATTATTTATCATTTACCAGGGGTCTGTTTAAAAGAAATTTGGGTTCATTAACGGACCCTTCACAAAATATCTTTTCATAAAAACGGACCCTTCACAAAATAATTTATCTTTTAATCGGACCCTTCACAGATTTGTTTATCTTCATTTTTGTTTTGTGAATCGAATAAACCCTTCACAGGAAGGAGGAAAGAAAGACAGATGTAAACGAACTAAGTTTTGTCTTTGGCAGACACTTCTTTTATATTCGTCTGAAATAAATATTCTGCTTTCAGCAGTATAGGCTAAATACCAAATATTTGTATGTTGCATCTCTAATTTAGTAGCAGCAATTGCTGTTTATTTTTTAAAATTTAATTTTTTTAAAATTATAATTTTAGTGTTGAGCATAATCTTGTATCTCTTTACAATTTAAAAACTCCTTGAAGAAGTTTTTTGCAATAACAGGACCCTATTTGAACAAATTCACAAAAGCAGGATCCTGGTTGTGACTTAACGTTTACTTTATATTCACAAGTTAGGAGTAATTTTTTCACAATTTTACAAAAACGGACGTTTCACAAACTGTCTGGACAGACCCCTGCTTATACTACAATAAATAATCTAAATTTCATTATTAACCTAAGTCTGAAATCTTAAAAGTGATAATTTTTTATATTCTTTTTTTTATGTTGTGAAGTAATAACGTCATGTTACCTTTAAAATATTGCATTACAAATTTTCTGCAACTTACCTGATCAGGCCAGCCAAATATGGAGAAAGGGAAAAGCCCAGATGAAAACCATGTATCTAGAACATCTTCATCTGAAAACAGAAAAGCAGTAAATTAATTTGAATAGAAAAAAAAATTGCTCAACCTAAACCTGACAGGTCAGTGGTTCACAACCTGTGGAGTGTGCACCAAGATGGCATGATAAAACTAAATGTGGTTCAGGAGGATATTGAGAAAAAATGTATCGAGATATAATGAGAAATTATATTATTAAAAAAATGTCCTTTATTTGTGGAAAGAAAAGCAATAAAATGCATTCTGACATAATAAAATTCACATTAGTAATGAAACGTAATACACTTATAAATAGAATAGTATCAGTACTGCACAATGTATTTAATAATAAATCAAAATTAACACTTATTAGTGACTGCTTAGAGCCTGTCACGCAGAGCAACGTTTGTTAAAAGAAGGTTTAATATTAGAAATTGAGACTCTAAGTTTTCATTCCATATTTAGCTGAGATCTATATTTTGCCTTTAATGTAACCACTGCAGATATTCTTGCTTTGCAAAAGTAGGATAAGGAAAATAGTAAAAGTATACAAAATACTCTTGTTTTTAGTGCAGAAAATTCCTCATCTGACAATGCCCAAAATTCAAAGAGTGATTTATTGCTAAACTGTCTCTTGATTTCGCATCTTGATGAGAAGTCTATGTAGACTTTTTCTTAGGTGATTGAGAAATCTTTAGGAATATTTTAATTAAATTATTTTTTTCCTAATTTTTTTGCTATTAAGTTGAAATCAGTAAAAAAAATCCTTTTTAAAATTTTTTGTTTGAATGATTTTCAATGGTTACAAAAACAACTTCAATAAGTTACTCTTCATTTTTGTAAATTTTAACACGTTCATCCATTTATGTAATTTTTGCCTTACATGAAGAGTGATGAGAAATGCGATTGAAAATTAGATCATAAATTCCAAAATGTTGAAAAACATTGTGATAGGTATAATATAGTTACCTTGAGCCACAATGGCTCAAGGGATAGAATGTTCGCCTTCCAATAAGGTGAACCGGGTTCGAATTCCAGCGAAGGTTGGTCAATACAAATTTCGCATCCGGCCTCCACTGACCACAGTGTGGACGTGAAATATTCGTAGTGGTATACGGATCATGGATTTGAGTTATCGTGCCGTCAGGTTAACTGTGGGAGGCTATTGTGGTCTTCCTCTCCATGTAACGCAAATGCGGGTTAGTTCCATCAAAAAGTTCTCCACAAAGTAAAATTTCTCCCAATATTTGATCTGAGAGTTCCCTTGTCTTCTGGATTGGGTTCAAAATTACAAGGCTACAGCCTAGAACATTAGTAGTCTAAACCCATAAATTGGGTCGGCTGTTCAACAACAGTTATAAAATAAAATAAAATATAGTTACCTTGTTTTAAACTGATTCTTTCAGGAGCAACGTTAAATTTGTGAGCAGCCTTCAGTCGAGCTTCTTCTTCATTCCTAGCACTTATCCATCGTTCATTATCTGAATCCTGATATTATCATAAAATAGGAATAAAGTAAATGTAAACATAATATACTTAAAAAATCTTCCATGCTGATCTTAATTTATCATCTTAATATTGGAATTAAAATATTGGTGTTATAGGTGTAAGAAAATATAGAGTAGGATATTAAATCACGTTCTTTGCAGGAAAAAAAGCTTAATTCTTTAAGAAATGGAACAACTACAATGACTAGTTATAGTAAAAATAGAGAAACTGTAAAGGCATTTTTCTATTTTAGACAATTTTACAGACAAATTATTTCAAAGTGATACTTTCATGAAAACTGGTATAATTTATGCATGACATAACTTTATTTATTATTACAAAAAAAGTTGCGTTAAAGGCAAAAAAAAATTTTTTTTTACAATAAAGAAGTTTTTACTTACAATTTTAAAGCACTAAAATCTATATATAAAAAAGGTTCAAATGGAAAAATCATATGTAAAATAAAAATGTAAATATTAGTGCATCATTATATTGCTTTCATCTATATCAGTGGTCCCCAACCCCCGGTCCGCGGACCGGTACCGGTCCGTAGATCAAATGGTACCGGTCCGCCCATTTCATTGAAACTGAATTTAAATTTCTAGGTTTATACCCCAAATTAAAAATATCTGTGTTCCATTAAAATTTTATTTATTTAAAAAAAAGATGCCCCCAAAGGGTAGTAACATAATATTTTTTTAATGTTTTAAAAAGTAAAAAAAAAGAAAAAGAAGTCGTCTGCAACAATTTTCTCATTCAATTAGTTTTAATTAAAAAAAACAATCATCGTAACTGTAAATATCATAAATAAAAAACGAAAGCGCGATGCGACATTTGCATTGGAACTAATAAAGAACTTCGTCTTTTCTCTCGTTTCTGACGCCTCACACAGCGAGAGTGTATAGTAAGGCTATAAAAGAGAAGCTGGCTCGTCTGCCATTTAATCGCCCAAAGACCACGTGACCATGATTCCTCTCTACTGTTTGGGTGCTTTATGCGGATTTGTTTGTTTTTTGTAAAAAGAAAGTGTCTATCACTCCTCTCTCTGTTCACCGGTACTTTCTCAGGTTTAACAGTGCTTGGTGTACGTGTGTATTGTGTCTGCACAAATTTAGCTCACAAGTTAGCAATCATGAATACAAAACAAACGTCCTTAGAAAGTTTCCTTGGAAAAAAGAAAAGGCTCAGTGAAGAGACCGAAGAGCCTTCAACATCAAAGAAACATGCAACTTTTAACAGACAATACCATGAGTCCTACTTGAAGTATGGTTTTGTCGGGACAGGCGATTCACACAAACCAAAACCGCTCTGCATAGTTTGCGGCGATCAACTCTCTAATGACGCAATGAAACCTTCAAAACTGCTTCGCCACTTGAACGCCAAGCACCCTGGATTAAAAGACAAGTCCCTGGAGTATTTTGAAAGAAAAAAACGGGAACACGAAGGACAGAAAAAATTTATGATGGCCACCACATCAATAAAGGAGAGTGCACTAAGAGCATCATATTTGGTGGCTAACCGCATTGCTAAAGCTAAAAAGCCATTCAATATTGGTGAAGAATTAATCTTGCCCGCCACTAAAGACATTTGCCGTGAAATACTAGGAGAAGCTGCTGTGGAAAAGATAGCACATGTGCCTTTGTCGGCTAGCACTGTGACTAGGCGCATTGAGGAAATAGCCGAAGACATTGAAAAGCAATTGTTGGAGAGGATTAATGCATCACCGTGGTACGCACTCCAGGTTGACGAATCTACAGATATTGACAGCAAGGCAGTACTACTTGTTTATGTGCGATATCTATATCAGGAAGATGTGCATGAGGATTTGTTATGTGCACTATCTTTGCCAACCAACACCACAGGAGCAGAACTGTTCAAGTCACTGGATGGTTATATATCAAGACAACTAAAATGGTCCTTTTGTGTAGGCATATGCACAGACGGAGCTGCTGCTATGACCGGACGTCTATCTGGTTTAACTGCTCGGATTAAGGAAGTTGCACCTGAGAGTGAAGCTACACATTGTCTCATTCACAGGGAAGTGCTAGCAAGCCGAAAAATGTCACCAGAATTTAACAGCGTATTGATTGATGTCGTTAAAGTTATTAACTACATCAAAGCACACGCCCTTAACTCGCGCCTGTTTGAGCAGCTTTGTGAGGAGATGGACGCAGAGTACAGATGCCTTCTGTTATACACAGAAATAAGATGGTTATCCAGAGGAAAATCGCTACTGAGAGTATTTGAATTGCGAGAGCCATTGCAAAGATTTCTCTTAGAAAAGAAGTCACCGCTGGCAGCACATTTCAGTGACAAGGTATGGGTCACCAAACTGGCTTACCTGTGTGACATATTCAACCTGCTGAATGAACTCAATCTGTGCCTTCAGGGGAAAATGACAACTGTTTTCAAGTTGGCTGACAAAGTAGCTGCCTTTAAAGCCAAACTGGAGTTATGGGGACGACGCGTGAACAGAGGCATTTTCGACATGTTTCAGACATTAGCGGGTATTTTAGGTGAGACAGAGCCTGAAGATTCATTCTCCCAGTTGGTTCACGATCACCTGTCTTTGCTTTTAAAAGAGTTCGAGCGCTACTTCCCAACCACAAAAGACCCACGAACTGGTAAGGAATGGATCCGCGACCCATTTGCCAACAAATCAGGTGAATCTAGTTTGTCAATGCAAGAAGAAGATCAACTGTTGGAGATTGCAAATGACGGCGGCCTGAAGACTACGTTCGAAACAACAACTCTGCCGGTGTTCTGGATTAAAGTCTTGGCAGAATACCCCGAGATTGCCACCACAGCACTTAAATCCCTATTGCCATTTCCGACAACCTATCTGTGTGAAGCGGAATTTTCTGCAGTAACAGCAACCAAAACAAAGCAACGGAATAAACTGGAGCTAAGCAACACACTTCGGGTGTCATTGTCTCCGATTACCCCCAGATGGAGCCGTCTTATTGCAAAGAAACAAGCACAGGGTTCTCATTGATGTAACGTTCAAGTAAGTTAAAATGTTAAATCACTTTATTTTTTGGTGTAACTGTATTTTATTTTAAAGGTATGTTTAAATACAATTAAATTAAAATTATAAAAATCAAAATAATCTAAAATATAAACAATGAATGCCCCCCCCCCTCAGTGGGCCGTGGTAAAATTATCAAACGTTGACAGGTCCGCGGTGATAAAAAGGTTGGGGAACACTGATCTATATGACTACCTAGATTCAAACCAAAAAAGTATAATTTTATAAAAGTTTTGCATAATTACAAAATTAGGAAGTCATTATTTTACTATGAAGAACTTGATACTAAGATTACCTATAAATTAAAAACTAATACACAATGATATTCCATTTTTCTTACTAAAATTTTGTATTAAGAATGCTATATATTGAAGTTACAGATAACTTACACTGTACTTAAATACAAAAACCAAACTCAACAAAGATGTAAAAACATTATCAGAAAACATATAACTGAGAAAATTACATCTGCATAAAAGTAGAAAAAATAAAACCAGTTTAAAAATATCCATCTTATTTCTAAAATGTGGTATGGCCACATATTTATGAACAGTCAAAACATTTAAATTGTTTTATCAACATATTGTAATTGATAAAGAGAAAAGGGGTATTACTGAATCTCCGGCCATTTCCATATTTTCAATAGTGACATAATATGCGGGAATTCTGTGACCCCACCACAACTGTCTTGATACACACCAATCCCTGAAAACAATTTTTTTAAAAACTTTTTAGTAATGAATGCAAAAGAATAGCATTAAATAACTATTATTATATCAAACAAAAAAGAATGAAATCAGTTTAGCATAAGATATTATGTTTATAAAATAGTTTCAATTTTCATATTGGAACATGTGTAAAAATTAAAAAAAAAAAATAATTCACAAAATTAAGAAGAATGAAGTAATGCAATACCTGATTTTTTCTAACCAATGATACCATATTTTAACATGAACTTCAGGAACAATTTTTAAGTCACCATTCCTAACAGCCTAAAATAAGGATAATAATTATTCATAATTAGATATGAGCAAACAAAAAAAGGATAACTATTAGCATTTTCAAATCATAATTAGGGACATTTTTATGCCAATAATTTGTGTGATTAAAAAAAAATCAAATAAGAGAATTTTTCAAATTATATAGGGATTTTTCAGAACATATTTTTAACATATTATAAATATTTAATATATATTACATTTAATAAATATTTAATATTTAATTCAAAAATTTTAAACATTTTTATGAAATATTTCATTCCTATGTGAAAAGTTTTCTTTGCTAAACATCATTTACACAGCTCAGAACTCTTCCTTACTTTGCTGAAAATTTATTTCCATGTTTAGAGTGATATAAAATTATACATTTCATAATTGATTCTTGTTTTAATAATTTGATTTAAAATTATTTTTGCAACCATTACGCAAAAAATATACACATAAGGGACAGTATCAAAATGCCTATTACATATGATTTTATCATAGATATTGTATCATATAACAAGTGATTATGTCGAAAAAATTGCTTATAGTTGTAAATTAAATTCTCATACCAATACCACTATAAGATTCCCTCATTTTAACAAAATCAATAAAATTTTCAGTCAAATTTGCGTACAATGTACAATGCACAAATGCCTTGTACATTGCATACAATGCACAAATGCCTTTATTAAATTGAGAATTTAATAAAGGCATTTTTTTATCCATCGTGATTTTTACTAAATCATTCTGTAAAATTAATAATATATGAATTACAATTGATCAAATTCTTTACTGTTAATTTTTTACTGTTTTCTTGAACAATAAGAAAAGTTCACATAAATGCATTATGTACAGTCAAATAAGCAATTTACAGGCAATATTTGAATTTATTATTAAATTATACAAGAAACTTAAACTCACTTCAACTGCTTTTCGAGCCATTTCTTCACATTTTACATACCACTGTACTTTTAACATTGGTTCTACAATATCTTTGGATCGACTAAAAGAAAACAATAAAAATATTTTTCTCATAACATCTTTATTTAAAGGGGGGAAGTTATTCATTGTAAATTATAAATTAGCAAAAAGAAATCGTTACAAGAATATTAAACACAAATATTACATTAATTATAGAACTTGATAGCAAATAGAAAATCTAATTTTATCTTTCAACTGTCAACTCTCAATTCAGTTTTAAGATGGACATAAACTGGTTGCTTTTTATTATACAAAAAATTTAAAATTTATCCATCATATAATATTTTATTTCTAATTTTTATGAATTTGTTTAATTAAGAAAGAATACTTGCAGGAAAATCTGAGTACAAATTTGCTTAAGTAGTTAACAATGAAAGAGTGAACTAATTTAATTTGAAAGGAAAAAAAATTGTAATAATTTATTCTAATTTAAAATTGACTTTATACAATAATACTTTTGTATGCATTTTCAGAAATATTAACAACAAAAAAAAAAAAAAAAAAAAAAAAAAAAAAAAAAACAGAAATTACTAGATTTATTTAATTTTTCAAATAATTCCAAAAATTATTTCACTTTGGTTTTAATAAGTCATAGACATTTATGATGTCATATATAAGGTGATATCTAAGAACATGACTTGGACAAGGTTTAAAGCCAAATATTTTATTGCAACATTCTACAAACTTATTTTGGAAGATGCTGAGCTTTTTCAGTCCCATAGTTATTTAGAAACTAAAAATCCACCTTTCAATAAGATTCTAGCCTAGCTTACAGAGTCAAATGTCAAGATGGTAATAAAGCACAATTTTCAGAATTTCTTAGAACACAAGAATAGCCACCTAATTCCCCGGACCGGAATCCAACAATTTTTTTTAATTTTGTCCAACTGGACTAAGGGTAGATTTTGGCATACCTAAAAAATCCTTGTACAAAGAATGGTAAAATATCAGAAGGTCACATGTGGTCTATAACAGATAATTTTGTGGCAGTTTAAATACTCTGAATTTGAGTAAGAGGTTGTAGCTTTGAAAATCTGTAAATTCATAATAAGAAGTGATGTTTATCTTTTTATTTGGATGTTGAACTGAGATATTTTATAAAGCATTAAAGTATTATATTATTCAGATCCAAATTATTTCTCTTTTGTAGATTAATAAATTATATTAAAAACAATAAATGTTGGACAATGGAAACATTTGATAACATAAACTGTGACTTAAATAAAATAAAAAAAATTTATAAGATAAGCATTAGCAAAGTGTACCTGCAAATAGGGACTACCATAGGATTGTCCTTCGTCTCTTTATACAAATTTTTTTCTTTCAAAGCAGCTAATACCTTATATCTGGCTTCAAATCGTTTCATTCCCTATTACAGAATCAATATTATTAAAAAAAATTTCAATATGTTTTGACTCAAACTGAAGAAGAAAATTAAAGCAATTATTGAAAAGAAATAATAAATAAGGAAGTAAAATTCTATACTGAACATAGCAAGATTCAATTGCTTATCACAGTATTATATTCTTGTGATTAAATAATTTTTAAATTTATTTATAAGTTTTTAATTTTGCTTTAAACTCTGAACAAATGTAGTTTTTAAACAAAATTGTAAACACGAGTATTCAACTAAATAAACTCAGGCATAAATCTGTTAAAAAGACTTTATTTTTTTAATTTGATATAACAAATATAACACAATTCTAAATTCATGACTACATATCTCTTAAAAACATAATCTGTATTTTTCTTTTCTTGAAAAAAAAAATCCCCAGTGGAATTGAAATTTAATAATTGATTAAAAATTTAAATCATTCTGTAACAATATAAAATAACTAAAACAATTTTTTAGAAAAGAAATGCTAACTAAATTTATTTGCACATAAAATGTATACAGTTCAATCACGGATTAAATAGTGTTTAAAAAGTACATCAGAACAATTTTGCATCTTAAAAGTAACCATCATACATATACATAAAATAAAGATAAATAAAGGAATAAAAAAACTAGATCAATAATATATTTTAAATAAGATTTATTTTCAATGAAATTGTAGCCTTCAGATAGATTCAATGAATTATTATTAAAAAGAAAAACTAAACACATCCAATGAAAAAAATATACATGTTAATCTTATTTCAATTCATGCTCACTTAAGTTTTAAATACTCACAGAAAATTCTGCACAATTGCCATTTAAAGTACCATCATCATTCAGAATATTAATGAAAGGAAGTTTATGCCTAACACCAACTTCATAATCAGCAGGATCATGAGCGGGAGTTATTTTAACAGCACCTTAAATTCAACAAATAAAGAGAATTTTCTTAGCTATAGGTATAATAAAATAATAGTACATATGGTGTATTGTAGACAAAATAACTTATAAACAAGAAATTAGATGAAATTAGAATTAGACCCCTCATCCCACACCTCAGAGCGAGATTTATTTTTTCAAACAATAATCTTCTATAACAGTTTTTATTTATTTATTTAAAAAAAAAATCCTTTTAGGATTAATATTAAATAAGTATAGTGAAGAGTTTATCTATAGAGTTTGTGTGTGTGTCTGTGTCCTTATAACTCCTGAATTGTTTGTGTTAGGATCCTGACATTTTGGCAGTTTGTAAATGGGGGAATTTCAGCTTCGAATCCCAAAGACTGTTCAAAATTTTCAATAAAATTGTTTGGAAGAGGTGTTACTAAAATGAATATTTCTGTCATTAGCCAATTTTTTAAATAAACTATAAAGGATTCCTCTTTTGTTTCCTTCAATTTTTTTTTTATAGAGAACATCAGTGATATTCGTAAGCTCACAGCCCTAGTTAATCAAAAAAGAATTTTAACAAATACATATAATATTAGCTATTTTCTACTTTTTACATCAGGTAAGCTCAATGATCAACCCGAAAGTGGTAGTACAGATGGACTACATCACCAAGTTAGTATTTATAAAATTATATGACACATGTTAATTTTGTTTATGTTTCACCTCTGAAATATGTTTTAATAAAACTAAGCAATTTAAAATTAAGTAGTATTTCAATTAAAAATAAAAACAAATTGCATACCGTAAAGCAAAATTAAAGGATTACTTATTTTTTTTATTCCACCTGACATACTGGTAATTAGTTCATTTATAATGCAACATATAGTAAGCATAAAATACATAATACAATACTTAGAGCCAAGTCAAATTTATAAAATAAAAAAAAATATACCTGTTCCAAATTCCATTTCAACAAAATCATCACATATAATTGGTATTCGTCTAGAACAAAATGGATGTATAACAAATTTTCCATGCAAATGTTTGTATCTCGTATCATTAGGGTGAACAGCAACTGCAGTATCTCCCAGCATTGTTTCTATTCTTGTAGTTGCAACAACTATTTCCTCATCTAAATTCAAATAAATAAAAATTTAATCAGACAACACCTAGAAGCAGCATTGAATATTATTCCCAAACACAGTTTTACATTAACTTCAAGGATATTTGGATAAAGTATAATGTAAAGTAATGAAATGCAATACACCTAAATAAAGACGAAAGCTGATGTTGTTTCAGTACTTTAAACAAGTACTATTGTCTGGGTACTGATAATGTACTTGTTTACAGTACTAAAGAAACTGTCTTTTATCTTACCAGTTAGTTCTTTTCAAATTACTTTCAGCATTATTCTGTTAATGTATTTCTTCCTTTTTCTGATTATGAGTATTTTAATATTTGACAGATTTGCTTTTTTATCTATATGCATAAATAATTTTAATCTATTTATGACAAAAGTTACACTAGAAATTGTTAAATAATTTGCACATGGAAACAAACTAATTCATTCAATCAACTAAAATAGTTACTACAACGCATGTAAAATAACTCAGATACCTTAGAATCTTAGGCATACATGACAATATATACGTAATGCACAGTAAAAGTAAAAATGCACAGTAAAATCATACTTATAATTAACATTTACAATAACATTATTTATACAACAGAACTAAGTTGTGGTTCTTCCTCCTTTTTATTATTTCTTTTCTTCAATTTCATATTTATTTATTCCTTTAGTGGCAATATAGTAATTTTAAAGTAATTTTCATTTATCAAAAATTAATTTGTTAATGAAAAATTATTTTTATTCAATGAACTTTAGGACAATATAAGATGATCAGAAAATGAGATCATGAAAATTACTCCATTAATACTACAAAACTACTCTAATTTTTTTATCTTTTTTATATGCATCAAATCACTTTACAAAGATTATCAAAGAATAATGTTTAAAATTCTCAATTAGTTTCCTTCATATATTTACTGAACGTCGTAAATATGCATGATGACATTTAGAATCAATTTTGCCAGGGAATGTTTTGCAAGTATTTTAGTTTAAAAAATGAGTCTATTACTTTCTGAAGTCAGATGGTCTTTAATTTCTAAATACATCACTTAAATTAATAAAATATATGTGTTTGGCCAAAGATTTAAAAATGATAAAAGATTTAAATTTATTTTACTTATTAGTTTGAATTGTTTTAGTTTATGAGAGGGGCCTTAAATTTAGTTTTGTAAATTATTACTATTACAATATATTTTGATTTATATTATTTTTAACACCTATGCTAATTCTTTCAAGAATTGTGCAAAATTATTGTGAAAAGTAGTAACTAAAAAAGAAGAAAAAATCATTTTAATTTTGAGAGCAATTTCAAACCAAAATAACTGTGTTCTTAGAAAATATTAGCGTTTGAGATTTTTCTGCACCGCTAGTATTAAGTACCTGACATTACACGAAAAAAGTTACACTTACTGGAATTTTCAACAGGATATGCAAATGAAACTAATACACCAAATTCAACTTTACGGTCATGGCCAGGAACAGATAACAAAGTTTTACCAGTTAGCTCTAATTTATCCACCTAAAAATTTTTTTTTTATTTTAGATCTTACACTCACTATCTTACTTAATAAACTTCTATATATTCATTAGTTTCAAACATACCTCTATATCTGATATAGCAGACTTTAGAGTGCAAGACCAGTTTACTAATCGATTTGCTCTGTAAATTAAACCATCCTCATGTAGTCTAACAAAAGCTTCGGTGACTGCCTTACACATTTTCTAAGTAGGATTTCATAAACATCAGATTTAAATAAATAGTTACATACATAAATATTGAATTTCTAAAAAAATCTAACAAATATTTTTATTAAAAAATTAATAAATCGACAACAATAAGCTTTTAATATTCCATATTGCCTTGATTTGGTACATGAACTTCGCAGATGAAATATGACGCAGATGAAATTTCGTACATGAAATTTGACGCAGGTACATGAATTTCAAACAAAAATCTTACTTCATTTATTTTTCTATAGACTCTAAGCATTTAAATTAATTTGATTAGATGATGAACTCTTACTACAAAATTGGTTGGAAAAAAACTTAATTTCAATGAAAAATTTAAAACTTAGTATACCTGTTATACGAATTATACTTTTAACATTCAATATATCTATATGGAATAACTACTAAACTCAACGGCTCAACAGCCCATGAGGGCCAAGGCCTACTGTACCCATCTCAGTTTTCTTGACCTTGGGCTCTGGGGTGCAGGAGCAGATGTTCCGGTCAGGTGGTCAGCCGAACGCGGAACCCCCAGTGTTTAGTTCCCAAGCATGCTTGGTACTCATTTATCGACCCACTGAAGGGATGAAAGGCTGAGTCAACCTTGTCCGGCCCGAGGATCGAACCAGGGACCTGTGGCACGACAGCACGAAGTGCTACCGCTCAGCCACCGGGCGTCATGGAATAACTACAATCTTCAAAATGAGGGCTCCACAGTTTAGTTAATATAATGGTAAAAAAAATGGGATAAACTGGGTCAAATGCTAAGATGACATATGCTGGGGAAAAAACAGTAATCCCAGTTCATTTTAAAGATTTTTTTTTTATGTTTTAAAAATGAAATTTTATTACATACATTTTATAACAATGAATGGAAGAAAAAAAAATGACTCAGAAATAAAGAGTTTAAAAAAGATACTTACAGGGTCCATAGTGAAAGTTGCTCTATCCCAATCTACTGAACACCCTAAAAGTCTTAGTTGTTCATAAATTCGATCTCCTTTTCTAAGTAAATAAATAAAGTAAAGGAAATTGCAGAAAATCAAAATGAACAAAATAGTGTGTTTAACCAAATTAGAACGTTTCTTTTTGGACAAAAACTTAGTTTGAAAACAAATAATTGATAAAAGAACATATTATATGATACTCTAGAGAATCGCGGAAAATAAACTCAAGTTTTTAACACTTTAAAGCAAACTAATAAATAAATAAATTTGCTTCTGTAATTGATATTTTTTTAATTTAATTTAAAATGTTTAATTAATTTTATAATAAATTTTAAATAAAAATAGTAATTATCAATTTCTATTTATTTCAGATGTGAATTTAAATATGAAACCTTAGAACATAAAACTCATAAGGCCATCACCTAAATTATTAACATTAATATCACAAGGTTCACTAACTACTAACTTAGATACTAAGTCTAATTCTTAGGTATTGACCAATCATATCATTCTGACAAAACTTCCTACTAAGTGAATAGACCAGTAAATGTCTTAAAATGAAACACTAGAAAATGAATTGGGAAGAAAAGATTTTTAAAATACACATCTGTCAGTAAAAGGGCAAAATGTTAATTAGGTTACAATAAAAAATTAGAAGAAAAAATATGGTAATTTTGAAGATGACCTACACTCCCCTTAACTATTTCTCTATCAATTTTGAAACAACCTTGCATAGACATTTCTAGATTTTAGGTATAGGATTAAATGAACCACAGCTTTGCTTATGTTAGAAGGTTAGTAATGTGGTGGTTTCATGCATCTCTACAATCACAATAGTAGGCAAAAATGCAATCCTAATGAGAAAATAAAAGGGAAATGTACGATAAAAAGTATGATTAAATAAATTCAAAAAACTTACTGTGCCTTCCACTTCCATACTTCTTCTATGAATTTTTCTCTTCCCAAATCATGCCTCCTCTTCTGTTGTTCTTTCCAAATCTTTTTCTCAACAACAACCTGAGTGGCAATACCTGCATGATCACATCCAGGATTCCATAAAGTTAATTTCCCTTTCATTCTATTCCTTTCAATTAAAAAAAATTTTTTAAATCATTTAACATACCAAATCAGTTAAAATATACATTTTAAAAACATGTATATAATTATTATTATTTTTATTCAATGTAGCTACTTAAAACTCACCCAGCTCAAAATCAATGGGAAGCAGTTTTTCCAGAAACCTTTTGTACTTTTTTTTCCAAGCATCTTTAAAAATTACTCTTTATGTTCCCCACTCCCTCCTATTTGTAAACACTAACAAAGCACCAAATGGTTTGAAATATACTATATGGAGGAAAAACATCCTTCCACAAAAAATATTTAGCACAGGTATTATATTAATATAAAGCATCAAAACAAAATTAAATCATTTGCAATCATTTACCAAACTTTTTTAACAATAAAATAAAATAAATAAATAAAATATAAAAAAAATTTTACAGATGAATATGAAATTTTATTAAATAGTTTAATTAAGATTAAATTTAAAATTAGAAATAGTTATTATATAAATTTAAAATGAGACAATATGCAGTTGCATCACGCTCTAATTTTATTAATAAGTAAAGTTACATATTTTTGTATTTTTTTTTTAAATTATTTTTATTACTATCACAAAGCATAATTTTAATACAAAATGTATGCAAAAAATTTAAATATAACAATTACATTTGAATAAATCCTTAAAAATGCATCATGATAAACCTAAATTGTCATATAGTATATTTTTTTTAATTTAATATTATATCATTATTATAGAAATTAAGTGAAATTTTAAATATGTATACAGATTTGGAATTCCAGTATATTAAGACCAGATATTAAAGTTTTTTTCTTCTTCTTTCTTTAAACACTCAGCATCTAGCTTTTAAATTTCAAAATTTTACTCTACTTTTCTAAATAAATCAGTTTTGTGCAGGATTTTGAATAATTATTCAATTGATTTTGATGCTTATTATCATTAAATAATGCAATGAAAATAATAAATTGTGACATGGGCATTATTCAATTAATTTACTTAAACTTAATAAAATATATTAATTACTTATGAATTATTAAGGCCAGAGAATAATAAAATAAAAAATTCATTCATAGCACAATAAATTTAAAAGAATAAAACTATTTACCATCGTGTAATGGAGTCCTCTATTGCGCTAGTTAAAGCATGCCCTACGTGCAAACTCCCTGTAACATTTGGTGGAGGAATAACTATGACAAATTTATCATTTGCATCAACATTTTTCGAGATATCCCTTCCCTGTAAGAAGTTATTAAAGTTAATACCAAAAAAATAAATCAAACTAGCACAAAATAAATAGAATTAAAAAGAAATATAACTTATACTATATAAAACATTAACTTTCCTGGTAATTCTTAAATGTATTGCCACTGCCATAGAAAGACAATTATATGACTATTCAATAATAAGAAAATTGGTCAGAATATATTTATTCCCAATGTTACATTAAAAATAAATTTATTGATCATAACAGTTTTGAAAATCAACATTGTTCAAAAATATTATTACATTGAATTTATTAAAATTTTTAAAACTGAATTGCAATAAAAAATAAAATTATACAAAGTTAGAACTACATCAGATTGGATTGGGTTTATGAAACTTGCTCAGGTTTCAAATCAAAACATTTGGAAAAAAGATATTAAATTGTAGCTTAAAAAAAATCTCATTCGAATACAGAAATTTATTATGTTATTTTTAAGAACCAAATGAATAACTTTCCAAAAAAAATTTTCATTTGTTTATCATACACTGGTTATCATAAATTAAGGAAAATTCACAAAAATCGCGATAACTCAAGAAATTACACATGGAATTTTATGAAACTTACCCACAATATACAACACATAGTAAGGTATTAAACAACATAAAAAGAAATTATCAGACATTAATAGTAGTATAGAAATTAGCACATGTATAAAATAAACAAATTGGAAGTATCGGTTTGCAATAGAAAAAGTACCTTTAATATGGAATATGATTGCCTCTAGAAGCAATACAGCACAAACAGCGATGTGTGATGCTTTCAATTATGCGGTCTATCAGTTCAATAGGAAGTGAGAGCCATTGCTCTTGTAAAGCAGTTGCAAGCGTGGCAAGGGTCTGAGGGGGCGGATTGATGGCAGATACACGCCTCCCTAGAGCATCCCAAACGTGCTCGATAGGATTCAAGTCCGGGGATCGAGCTGGCCACTCCATGCGAGTAATTGTTTCCTGTTGAAGATAATCATCAACAATGCGAGCTCTGTGTGGTCTTGCATTATCGTCCTGTAACAGGAAGCAATCACCAATTGCCCCGGCATATGGGCGCACATAAGCATCAAGGATGTTGTCTCGATAAACCTGAGCATTCACGGTTCCCCTTGGAAAGACATGGAGGTATGTGCGCCCTCCTAAGGATATGCCTCCCCAAACACAGACACTGCCTCTTCCGTATGCATCTCTTTCACGGATGTTTGATGGATGATAACGGGTCCCAGGTTCTCTCCATATCAAATAACGTCTACTGTCACTTTCTAGACTAAACCTGGACTCATCCGTAAAGAGAACAGGCCTCCATTGATCTGACGTCCAGTGGACATGTTGTCGGGCCCACTGCAAACGGTCTCTCCTATGGCGTGATGTGAGCGGCACGCAAATGGCTGGTCGTCTCGCATACAGACCACCTTCGTGGAGCCTTCTGCGCACAGTTGACGTTGACACCAACCTTCCGGTGGCTGCAGCAAGAGAGGATCTAAGATGTGTCGGAGTAGCGGTTCTATTCCTGCGTGCACTTAATGTCAAATATCGGTCATCGGCACTGGTCGTAACAGTTGGCCGTCCTTGACTGAACCTCCTAGATGCCGAATCTGTGGTTTGAAATTGCCTCCAAAGTCTATGAACCACAGATGGACTCACATTTAGCCATCTGGCCACTTCTGATTGACTCTGCCCTGCCTCTAGTCTCCCGATGGCTCTCCATCGTAGTTCTTCAGGCAAATGATGCCTAGAGGTCATTATTACGAATTGGCTATCTCAGATTTTCAATGTCGCAATCACAGTAAAATTTGTGTGCTTTCTCTCAAACTTGGACTTTTATGCTCCAGGCAGATGACGTAAGCCGAGTGCAGCGCCACTAATTTGCATATTGCAATTTTACTCAGCTACTCTTAGTGGACAACATATGCAAATTTTGCACGGTTTGGCTTACTTTTGAAAGAGTTATCGCTATTTTTGTGATTTTTCCTTAATTTATGATAACCAGTGTATTTATGCTAATAAACTAAGTTTGCACTCAATAAAATCTCCAATATGTGCCATTCGATTACAAATAGACATAAAAAATTCAATGAAAAATTTTAGAAAAAACATAGCACCAAAAAAAAAAAAAAATTTCTTAAAAATTTGATCAAATACCCCATATTCAGGTTTGAAAAAACCAGATTTCTCCCACCAGGCATACCAAGCAGCTTCAACGTATTTTGGACTATATGCATCAGGCATGGGTCCCGAAATATCTGTGAAAATAAAATAAAATGTTTTTACAAAACTTCAAACAAACAAGATATCATTTAGAAATTGTTGATAAAAGAACTTTTCTTTACAACAATAAGAAGATCATTCTTACAATTGTAAAGAAAAATTGAAAGTTAAAATTAAAGAATGTTCCTTTGAAAAATAAATGTTGAAGTTAAAGAAACCATACTAATATATTTAAATTAAAGTTTAAAAGAAATTGAAATATAAAAGCTAGTACATAAAACAAGGCTAAGGGAAACTCAATGAGTGAAAGGAGTTCAAATTGTGAAGCAATTAGAAATTAATCGTGTAAGTAGTATTGGAGTAGGTGATCTATAGCAAGTATGAGAACTCAGTTCTTAAAAAATTTTTTTTAATTGAAAATAAGAAAACCATGCCAAAGAAACATCATAAGATAATTTGTATGAATGTTTGAAAATAGTTGAATTAAAATCTACATTTTTCACAAAAAAAGTTAAACTATTTTATGAGGAATCTTCTAATATTACACAAACACTTTTAAAGTTCTTTTTAAAAATAAAAATCGATTAAACAAACTTTTTTGTGTACAACTTTTTAATTATTAGTTCTCCGACATATACATAAAATATTATATCTATTTTGATGAAATTAATGAATACTACTATTTACTTTTATTATTTTGGTAATTTTTTTTTTTTTTTTTTTTTTTTTGTTCTCAAGAATTAAGAAATTTGATTTTTTCCCCTTTTATATTCACCCAAAAGTCAATCATAACTTGGATGGACTAAGTTCAAACAGCCTCCCTCCCTCCAATAAATAAATATGTATCAGAATTTGCATAGTTGCTTAGAGTTTATTTATGGATGCTAAATCTTGTTTCGCACATGTTAATATATATACTTCTGTATTTGTTAATTTTGCTATAGCTTTTAAGGCACGGATAAAATTCAAGATATAAATGTTACTAATGCATTCATGAATTAATAAGGCACTGAATTACCCTTTTTTTATGAAGTAAGTATTGTTTATCTTTTTATCGAAGATTTTCACAACTTACATTATCACATGAACAGTAAATATCAACCACTATTAGGTAGGAATCTATTTTCAACTTACTACTAAGTATTTTACAGGTCAAAATATAAACTAATGTTTTAAGTTTAAATTTTTGTATTGAAAAAAAAAAAGTACATTCACACTGGAATTGCAGTGTTTCATAAATCTCATTTTCAAAAAATTTATGTAAAAAATCAAATACTATGATAATGTTATCTTTATTAAAATTCATACTACTAACCATTTTTAAACTTAATAAAATTTACAAAAACTATTTTAGCTTCAGATAACACACTACAATCAACATCTACAGTTTTTAATAAAATTTAGTAAAATGCAAAGAGTAAAAACCTTTTTTTTCCCCAGGTACCACATTTTTATCATAAACCAAAACTTCTTTTTCCTTTTTCTCTTTAGGCTTTTTCTGGAAGAAAAAAAAAATTAATTTAATCTGTTACACAGCAATTTTAACAAGATTCATTCATACACAGATTAAAGTTTGATTTTAAGGAAAGTTTTTTAAACAATGCAATTAAAATAGAAAAAAAATCACATAAATTTTAATTAAATCAATTTAAAAACTTGCAACAATCTACCTGTTAAAATAACCAAAAATTAGCTGTTATTAAATACAAATTTGTTAGCATAACAAAAAGGCCTGATAGTTGCATTTGATGTTCAATGTCTCTACAAGAAATGTTCAACTTCAGATTTTTTATATTTAGATTTCAATAACATATTCGAGATCGCAACACTTGACTACGCCATCTGGAGAGAAGACCAATCCATGTCTTGACCCCCCCCCTCTGCTCTTTTCCTCAGTCATGTAGGAATGTACTACCATATTTTCCCTTTTTTTAAATATTTTTTGTATTTTTAAACAACACTTTTTTTAGAGCTATGTTTAATGTAGATTTCAGTTCCATATAGTTTCCTAACTTCACAGTTTTTAATCTATTTGTAAATCAAGTAAGAATCTGACATACTTCCTTCTCCTATGACTCTTCATACTCTAATGGTGAAAGCACATAAAGTGTTGTCATAGGTAGAGAGTTCTGTTCTACGCCACCCAAAGCCATATGTAACTATTTCGAAAAACAATACGTACTGTGCTGCAGCATTTTCTTTTCTACTTAATAATCTAGAACACTAACAAGAAAATTAAGTTTTTCTTAACAACAGATCGTTTTAGGAAATTGTATTGGTTTAAAAATATAGATTTTTTTGTCAGTAAATATAACAAAAAGGATAAATTTAACTGGCATACTTAAGATCGTTAGATTTCATTTGGATTAAAATAGTTGCACAGCTAAAATTTTTCAATTACATAATACTAATAATAGTCTTAAAATTGGGGGAAATAATGCTGTAGTAGGAAATATCTATAATGATGGAATTGCAACATGACTTGCATTTTGCAAGTGGCATAGCATATAATATTGATTTATTTTATAAATTTTTACAAATTATAAATCTTTCTGGGACCTTGGAGATTGTAGTTGAGATGAATAGATAGACAGTTGTTAATTTACGTCGCACTAGAGCTGCACAATGGGCTATTGGCGACGGTCTGTTTGATCCTCTGCGGAGGGGATGGCACCCCCGCTTCGGTAGCCTGACGACCTGCGCTCGAAGTCAAGCACTTTACGGTAGCACAGTTTAACGAGGACCAATACCGCACACCCTCGGTACCTAAGCAGGCTGATCCAAGTGGTCACCCACCCGCACACTGACCGCAGCCAGTGATGCTTGACTTCGCTGAGAATAGGTAGACAGTGAAGTATCCTACCTTCTTATAAGCATAACTTTTAAAATACCAAACTGAAAAGGTTAATTTATTTTTAACTGTCCTCACACAAAATTACTCTGGCATGTATGCTAAATGATTAGAGTAAAATGAAGAATAGACATTAATTGGAGTATTTACTAAACCACACAAAAAATTAGGTTTGGACAATCACATTTTAAAATGCAATGTCATTGAAATTAATATAATTATCTAAATGAGGAATCTTACAGGTGTTTTATCTACAGTTTTTGATTGTATTTTTTCTTGCTTTTGTTTAAACTTTTCTAGTTTCTCTTTCTTTTTGGCTTCTTTCTTCAACTGAGCGGCAGTTTTGGGAACTTCTGACACATCAGCAGAATTTTCAAGAGAATTCGTTGAATCCGGCATTTCAAGCTTTTCCTTAACAAAAGATTAGGAATGAGAGCAAAAAATCACTATATTGTATTTATTTTAAGATAAAAGAGAACTTCTAGTGGCTGTAGAACTGAACCACGTTGGTTTCTTGATGTGGTTGTTGACAAGTGATCACAAATTGATCGTTTATTACATCAGCATTTTCATCAATCACATCAATTTAACCAAACATTAAATACTCAACGAACTAAACCTCGATAGCCCAGAACTAAACGTTTAAATGTTTTCAACTATTCAGTTGGATATGTCGTGTTGTTTTTGAAAAAATATTTTCGTACATTATGAACGATAATCAGTTGATACAGAATAGTGGGTTTTTTCAGGTCTGCTTCTAATCAATTAGTTTAGTCAATTGCAATCAATGTTGCATTGAAATCTCTATTTAAATAAAAGATATTTTTCAAGCTATTATAAAATCAATACTGCAACGAAACACTTTGACGGAACAAAGTTTTGAAAATAATGCATAAAGTTACAAATATATATTAAAAATTTTCATATCATTAGCATCGTCATCGTATCAAATGTAAACAATCTCTTGCAGTTTCAGAATTGAAATTTTTAGTATCACTGTAGTGAAAATTTTTAATTTCTTGTATTTTTATCAGGGGTCTGCCTAGGCTTAAAGAGGTACCTATTTTGTGAAAATTTCGACATAATTTGTGAAAATTCAAAATTACAGTACCCTTCCAAATTATTAGGGACACTTAAAATTTCTAAAAAATTGTCATTTTTCAAAGTGTCATAACTTTTTCAAAAATGAATCAATTTTCATAAAAATTTCAGGATATCAAGTTCATGTCTTCTAATTTCACTTAAAAATTTTAATCTATCTCAAAATTTTGCAAAAATTTGCACATTTCAACAAAGCAATTTTTTTTTAAAAAAAAATTTCATGTCTGACAAGTTGCTACTTTGTAACCAAATTTTTTGCATAAAAATTATTATTTACACATTAAAGTACAAGTCATTAACTTTAAAACGCGCTAAAGTAAATTACTTTGCAAATTTTTTTAACCGAAATATGAGATTTTGAAAATTTTTTGTCATTTATAGTGAAAACAAAATTATTGTGAATTCGAAAATTATTTAGTATTATTTTTTCGCAACTTTCCTATTGGGATTAATTAAGTTTTTTATTTAAAACATTATTACAAGTAAGAACATTATTTGAAATTTGTAATAACAATTTTAAAAAACGACTCAAGAAATTTTTAAGAAATTTAACTTGATTATAAAATTCAAAAACTTTTTTACTAAAACAAGTATAATAAAAAAAAATCTTAACATTTTGTAACATGTCCTTTTGCTTGTATAACTGCATTTATTCTTCACAGCATACTTTCAATACAAGCTTTTGCAATAATATCTATACTAAATATATACTAAATAATTTTCGAATTCACAATAATTTCGTTTTCACTATAAATGAAAAAAAAATTTCACAATCTAATATCTCGGTCAAAAAAAATCGTAAAGTCATTTACTTTAGCGCGTTTTAAAGTTAATGACTTGTACTTTAATGTGCAAATAATAATTTTTATGCAGAAAATTTGGTTGCAAAGTAGCAACTTGTCAGACATGAAATTTTTTTTTAAAAAAAAAAATTGCTTTGCTCAAATGCGCAAATATTTGCAAAAAATTTAGATAAATTTAATTAGTAATTTTTAGGTGAAAGTAGAAGACATGAACATGATATCCTGAAATGTTTATGAAAATTGACTCATTTTTGAAAAAGTTATGACGCTTTGAAAAATGACAATTTTTTAGAAATTTTAAGTATCCCTAATAATTTGGAAGGATACTGTATATTAAAAATCAACTCAAAAATATGGATTTATCTTTTTATATAGGATGCAAAAATAAAATTTTATGAAAAAGTATTTTGTGAAACTACCACTTTTCCTAAAGTTGAATTTGTGAAGGTAGTAAATTTGGCCTTGACAGATCCCTGTAATTGCTCTTAAGATCTGTGAAATTAAAAATCTTGTAGTCTGCTGCTGAGCAGTACCATGTGTATAGGGATCTGTAGAAAATTTTTTTCGTCTTCAGATCTATGTCTATATTAAAAAAGTCACAAAATTGTGATTGCACGTTTTCGGATCTTCCTCAGGGATGTTTCCCAGACAATTAACTTGCTACTAACAATGATAAAAAGAAAAATCAGGAAAGATTTTAAAAGATATTGCTTATTTTGACAAAAAATTTATCTTTTGTTACAGACAACAAAAAATTTGTTAACTGAAACTCTAAAATTTCCAAAATTATTTTTTTCAAAGAATAACTTTTTCTGTTTGAAAATTATAGTGTAGTATAATGTTACTGCAATTGTTACTGAAAATTGTTACTGTACAATGTAACTGAAAATTATAGTGTAGTGTAATGTTATTGATTGCTGAAAATATTTCCCTAAATATTAAAATGGAGCATTCAAATGAGGCAATTTCACATAGTTCTTGAACTAAAATGAAACCTGAGTTCTGAATTAAAAATGGAGTTATCAACTAGCTGCTAATAGTAATCAGACTGCATAACATTAAAATACAAATTTTTAGCTTTAAATTTTATTAAATATGTTCAATTTGCTGAAGTTTTAGATTTTGGTTTACTTTTTCTGGAATTGTTTATTAATAGAATGAGAAAATGAAAATAATTTTATGTTGAATTGATTTAGAAATTTTGTTTTTTATTCTTTGTTTAATTATTATTGTTTAATAAATTACTAATCACATATTTCTAGTAAAAATGCTTTTATATAATCCTTAAATTAGAGATTTATATTATTTTAAATTAAAACCGCTTTTATTAAAAAAACTACCCAGAAATTTGGAAGTTCCGGGTTCTATAGACCCATACCTTCCAAATTCTGGGGAAATTACTGTTAAATGTTTATTATGAATTAATGGTTGAGAATGTTTGTTGATAAAGAAAGTACCAATTAAGCTGCTCAGTTATTTCATAAATATGAAGTTATATCTACAACTAACTTTTGTTTTCTTTTCTAGCTTAAATAAAGATGAGTGAGCTTGACAAGGAAATGTCTCGGCTAACCACTAAAGATTCTATTTATGGAATGCTATCAAATTTTGAAATTGATAAAAAGATTGGAAAAGGACAGTTCAGCGTTGTTTTCAAAGCTAAATGCAAATTAGATGGAAAATTTGTTGCCTTGAAAAAAGTGCAAGTTAGTTTCCATTTTCTCTTTAAAAACTGTTTTATATTTGTAGCATTTAAATTAATACTTTTTCTGAATTTTAATTTTAAAAAAATACCACAAGATGAAAAAAAATATTTTTTTGCTTTAAATGATTTACTCATATTTAACTTCATAAATCAGGCAAACTCTATGTGAACATTAAATCTATCAAACAAGAACTAAAAATAATAACAATGAAACAAATAATTTATGGTCAAGAGCATCATGCTCATTAGCCTAAACTAATTTAAAAAATAATAAATAAAAGAAATTTTAGTAAATAAATAACAAAAACCAATAAAGCTTTTGTGTGTAAGAAAGATAAAAAGGAGCAACGTATTTCACAGATTCTTAAAACTTATAAAATTTATGTTATTTTCGTTCTTAAGTGTAGTAAAAGTTTTTATAAAATGGCGCATTTAGAAGCTTATATGCATTTTCTATTTAAAATAAAAATAAAAATTTCATGCTGTAGCACATATTATGTTTTCTTTTCAGTTGTATGAATTTTCACCTATATTGGTTTAAAAGTGAAGCGGCCCAATAGTACTTCAAATGACTACCCCAAACTTGGTACTGGTGTGTACAATGTACAGTGTTAAATTTTCATGTGTATATATAATAAATAGACATGAAAGAAATGCAAATCTAATTGCATGGAATTCTAATATTTCTAAAAACATGTATTTAAATATTTTTTTTAACCAGATGAAAGAATTAAAATCATTGAGTTAATTGTATGTTATAATTATTAATAAATTTATTAAAAATATCTCTGTTAACTAAATTTTCATTTGAGCAAATCTGGGGTTAAAAATCTTCTAATATTCAGTAAAGAATATTTTTCAATAAATAAAAACAAATTTTCAATTAATGTTAATAATCTCTGTAAAAATCATCAAAAATAAAAATTTATAATTAAAATTCAACCTTATTTATTATGAACTTCGAATTATCCAATATAATATTACCTTGTGCACATCCAGTTTCGAGCCAATCCAAAGTAACTAACAAATCAAATGGGCTTCTGTACTTCAGTAAGAAGGCACTATAAAATACATCCCATTTTGTAATTTATTGTAGTTGTCAAATTGTATTGTATTGCATTGTAACAGTCAAGTGCCCATATCCTTGGGCGGGATGACTAACCAAATTTTACATCCCATTATCCTCTATTTAGGCTTTTATTTTCATATTTTGTAATTTGGCAAACTTGCTTCGAAAATATATATAATCATGTTTGAAAGATGCTGGTTAGTGGAAGTACAAACAAATTCACTACTTGTTTTATTTGTTACGTTGTGTTTTTTATTCTGTATTTTTCTTGAATTTTTTATTTTCTGATTTTGCTTGATATGTTTTATTTTATACATTTGCTTAATTCTTTCTGTTTTTTGTAACAAATTTTGTTATTGCTCTTCACACTTTTGTATTGATATATTTTGCTTTGGCTTTATTAATGCAATATTAAAAAGTACTCTTTTTTTTTTTTTTTTTTTTTTTTTTTTTTTTTTTTGAGAATATAATCACGCGAGCCGATGATGAGATGATATCTTTTCTTTATTTTGTTTTCTGTTGTTAGTTTATTAATTTTTGGAAAAATATTCTTAATTTTAAAATATTTCTCAGGAAAATTAGTGAAATATTTTTACACTCTGTGGTTTTTGAATATTTAAATTTTTTGAATATCTTTTTATATTTTTATTTCTGAAGCTTTTTTATATTGCTGAAGTCTGAAATGTGTTAGTTTTATAAGTTAAAATCTGGCTTCTCTAAATGTGGATGCTTGTTTTCTGAATATATATCTGTTGTTTCAAAATCTTAATGGTATATATTTTTAAAACCATCAGTTATTTAAAATTTCTCGATTTAAAGCGTGGATGTCTAATGTATTGCTTATATTTTTAAACCATTTCAATTACTTTTTTAGTGGATAAAATGTACACCAAAAATTTTAAAATATCCTTAAAGCTTTTATAGTTTTTAGCAAAAGTTAGTTTTATTAAATAAGATTTTTTCTGTTATTATTGTGTTCATATTCGCTTTAATTTTGTTATTGTACTGTTTTAAAAAATGAGTAAGGTATGTAATATTAATCAAATATCATTACAAAATGTATATTTTTCTTTAGTTCATTCATGATTTACTATTTCTAATTTGACTATTAAGTATTGCTATTAATTTTAGCAGAGTATCTTTTAAATACTTTCTTTCAACTATTTACATCCTTTTTTTGTAGATTTCTGAAATGATGGATTACAAAGCACGATTAGATTGTATGAAAGAAATAAACTTGCTTCAGGTAACTTTTTATTAAAATAAGTTTGTAATTTGCTAAATTTAATGTTTTTTTTTATTATTTAATATTTGTAATTAAATATTAAAGTTAAAGTTTTATATAATTAAAGTTTTTATTATTAAATATTTGTCTATATTTATGTTGTATGCACAATCTAATTTGAATTTTTTTTAAAAATATGACTGATAAAGGAGTAAGATATGACTTAGGGCTGGGTTTTGGTCTCATCTTTGATCTTCCATTGCATCAATGCTAAAAACTATAAGTTCCTGTTGTTTGGCATGCAATAAAACAATTTTCCTTTATTTGGTTTAAAAAATTTACGTAAAATTTTATTTGCTCAAAAATCACTCTTTTATACTTAGTTTTGTAAAAATCAACATTATACTGAATTTTATTAAATTTCTCATTTACTCTTTAACTGTAGCAATTAAAAGTATTTTTATCATATAAAAAATCTGATATATTTTGTTCAAACGGAATTTAAATTTAAAAATAAGATATTTTAAGGTTATAAGAAGTAAAGTATTTTATAAAAATTTAGCCTATATCACACCTCTTGAAAGAAATTTTTAATGTTTTAAAAAGCTGCTTGATCAAACAGTATATTATTCTGTGTTATAACTTAGAGATTTTAATTTTTGTCTTAAACCTACTCTCCTACATTATAGCACCTGAGGATTATTTTATGTCTCAGATTTAAAGACAGCTTTTAAATATTACTGAGAAAAGAAACAGAAAAATCATCTAAAATTCTTAAACCTACTCATTTACTAATTGTTTCAGGTCCTTAACAAAATTTATTTGCTTAGCTGCAGATATATAAGCAAAAGAAAAGTGGTGACTTTCAAAAATTTTCCATAATGCTTTTAATTAACTGAAATTTTAAAAAATAAAGAACTAAAAAGACAAAAAAAAAAAGTTTTAAAATATGTTATTAATTTCCAAAGTCTTGAATTGTTTGCTTTTTGATTCTATAAGTACTTGTTCCATTTTTGTTTTAAATTTCAGTCATTCCATTTATATTATACATTATCTACAGTGTCTAAAATGTTAATTAAAATAGCAACTTTTAACAAAATATTTTTGTAACTAATATTTATATACTCAATATAAGTTAATTTTACTGCTTAAATGTTAGTTTTAGACTAATTTTTACAACAATAATCTCTATCATAGGATCCATAACAAGTTTAATTCGTGAAAATTGTGCTGGCAGATTGATTCTGTAAATTCAGTTACGGGATCTGCACTAATTATTTTGTTTTAAACTATACATGCTTTTATAACAAACAATTTCACAGCTTATTTATGACTAATGAGGGTGATTTTATTGAACACATTAATTCAACAACTTACAATATGGTTCTGAAAGTTTTCAATTTAATGGAAAAGTTATATTTTTAGTAGATTTTGGTAAAAATATGGGAGGCCATTTCTACAGTTCTGTTAATAATTCAACCTGCATTGACTATATCAAATCATTGTGTTATTATGATTTAGTGTTACATGCTTATCATACCGTGATTTTAACAAAGAATTTAAAAAGAAATTCTTTCTCTACTCTTATCATTTTATAATTTATCTTGTACAATATTTATGATTATTTATTATCTTTTTAGCAACTCAATCATCCTAATGTTATTAAATATTTGGCCTCTTTCATTGATGATAATGAGCTGTACATAGTCCTTGATCTTGCTGACGCAGGTGATCTTTCTCGGATGATCAAGGTAAGTATATTATGTTTCTGATTAAGAATCTCATATTTTATGTGTATGGTCTCCTAAAGTTTGATATTTTGCCATTTCAAAACATTAATTTTGTTCAACCGCAAGTAAAAAATTACAATTTTTAAGATGAAATCCTCTTTTCTTTTAAGATGAAATAAATTGCTCTATTTTTTTACTGTGTAAATTATTTTGTATATTGTTTGATCATGCATGTTGGGGCTCTCGTTCGACCAGTTTGTTTGTTTTTAGAATTAGTCAATTGGCTTTCAGATTTTGAATGTGTAGCTTACCCTAAAACTTTCTATTGTTTGCTTTTAAGATTTCATGGTTCAAATGTGTTCTCCAGCACTTACCCTTCAGTTTAATTTAAGGTATTTAACTAAAATAAGTGTATCAATGATTTATTATGTTTTGTTTAACCAAAGATTTTAATTAGCATTTTAGTTTTACTATTGAAGTTCAGAGTAACTTATCACAAAAGTTTTCAACCATAAAAACTAAATATAAACCAAAATTGTACATTTTTTCTACTTAATTTAGAAATAAAATTAAATCAATTAAAATTAAGTAGAGTGCATAAATGAGGAATAAGTGTCATGTATTAATATATTTGTCTATCATGATTAATTTTATAACATGAGAGAAACATACTTGTTCTTCAAAAACAACTTAGGTTTATTTAATAAAAATTAAATTTATTTGAAGGTGAAAAAAAACATTTCACTGCAGCAGAATAATAAATGCAAGTGAACAAATACCGCATAAATAAAGTGTAGGATCCATTTTGTTTCTCTGGGCCCATCTCAGTAACTGCAGAACTAAATATGTATTATTAGGGAAGGGGAAATCAGGAGGGAGAAAGAAAAATGCAAGAAAAAAAGGGGAAAAAGATATACAATATCCAAATATAAAACTTAAAGATGACCATCAAGAGTATCAAGTTTTATGCAAAATCATAGATACATTCGCCATAGTTACAGAAATGCATATTCCGAAAAAGTTTTACAGCTTAGAAAAAAAAATGGTAATAACTATGAGAGAATATTTTCTAAATTAGGTAAAGAGTAATGTTTATATGCATTTTAAATTTCAGGAGAGTGTAGATTAAATCAATTTGGGTAATACAAAAAAATTTTAAACTTGTAGTTTTGAGATGTTTGGAAAGACTTTTTATTTAGTTGATCAAATGGGTTGTTTTTGTAACTAAACTCTAAATACTTTTTTTTTTTTTTTTAGTATTTTAAGAAACAACAAAGATTGATTCCAGAGAAAACTATATGGAAATATTTTGTCCAAATTTGCAGTGCCTTGGAACACATGCATTCAAAGCGAGTGATGCATAGAGGTTTAATTTATTTTCTTTTTTATTATTTTTAAGTGAACATTTTATATGTTAATTTTATTACTGACATTGCTGGTTGTCATGACATTCTTTATTAAAAATAAAAAATATATTTTTATAATGAAAGTGATATAAATTTTGTGTGCTAAATCATTGTTCATAGAAAAAAAATTTACCTACCATATGATACAAGATACAAATTTTCTTTGTCTTCATGTGTGTTCCTTAAAAAATATTTGTCAACTATGGAAAATGACATTTTTAAGAAATTAAATAATAATATGTTTTATAATTATTAAGTTTAAAGTTGGTTTAGGTATATTTATTGCTTTGTTTTATTGACACAGCATTTATTTTATGGTTGTTGCTGATTTCTTTATATCTTACTTAATTTTATCATTCATTTATGAGCCACTAACCCCTTAAGCTTTTGCATTTTAAAAGAAACCTTCCAATATTAGTTTATCTAAAAGTCAATTTCCTCTGTTTAGAGTTATCAAAAAATAATTTCTAAATTAACGTGTCAATGAAAATTCTTTAAAAAACATTTTATCTTCGCAAAGATATATTTATTAAATGGAACTAATTTATTACAATTTTTCTCTTTTTTTATTGAAGTTAATATTGTTTGTAATTAGCTTTTATAAATTTTAGAAAATTGTTGATATTTAAGAGAATAATTATTTTTTGGTTGGTATTGCATTGCGTTTGAACTTTTAAGAATCCCTTTTCTTCGAAACTCTTATCCTTCTGCTATTATAATTGAGAATTTGTACTTTCAGAATTATAATTTATTTTATAAAAAGATTTGAGATGTTATGAAATCTAATTAAAATTGTATTTCAAAAAAAGGAGAAGACTTATTAATTTGCATTTTTCAGATATTAAACCTGCAAATGTATTCATCACAGCTGAAGGTGTTGTTAAACTTGGTGATCTTGGACTAGGAAGATTTTTCAGCTCGAAAACAACAGCTGCTCATTCACTAGGTTTGTTATGCACTTTATGAAATTGAAGTTCTTCAAATGAACTGATATTTTTAAATTAGAAATATTTTTTATCTCTATGTTAAAGGTTTATGCATAAAAATTTATTTTATTTTTATGTATAAGCGATTAAAAAAAGTAAAATGCCTTCTTATCACAAATAGTAAATAATTTCGTTTTTTTATTACATTTCATATTATTTATATGAATAAACAACACTATGCTTTAACATTATAATCATCAATTTGTTTTTCTCCTTTAGTTCTCTATATCAACATTAAAATGTTTAAGTATTGTTTAATATTTTTTTAAAACATTAACTATGTTATATCTTATAATAAAAATGTTTTATTTCTATATTTAATAAAATTATTAAAACCTTTGACTTATGCACTATATTGCGTAATAAAATTGCAAGTTAATTATAAAATATTTTTGAGAATAATTGGAGAATATTATAGAGGATTTGAAATGATATAATGAATGTAAAAAGGAATTACTTAATTTCTGAATGTTTGTTATTACAGTTGGAACTCCTTATTATATGTCTCCTGAAAGAATTCATGAACATGGATATAATTTCAAATCTGACATTTGGTCCCTGGGCTGCCTTTTATATGAGGTAAAAATTGAATAACAAATAAGCATAACTTTTTTTTTCTTTTTTGTTATAAATTAATATTATATGTATTAACTAATCATTAATTTAATGATTGATCTATTGGTTTTTGATCTAATGATCAAATCTTCATGTTTTTGAAATTAATATTAAAGGTTCAAAAAAGGGACCTCGAATCTGCTACTTAATTAAAGCAAACCATATTTTAAGTTTCAAAACCAGGACTAAAAATGGTACTTTCGCTGAGTAAACATACTCTTTTTTTTCCTACTAATTTAGATTTTTGACCCTCAAAATATAAAGTGTAGCCATAATCTGGGAAATATGGTCGCAATTGTTTGGTCACCATCATTTTAAGGAATGCTATTTTAAATGACAGGATACAAAATTTGAACCAAATTGGATGAATAGTTCTTGAGAAATTGGATTTTGAAAAAAACCTCATTTTTAGAAATAGATTTCTCAGGAACTATTCGACCGATTTCGCTTAAATTTTGTATTTCGTCATTTAAAATTGCATTCTTTAAATGATATGAAAAATTGTTTTTCTAAGAATTCAAAATTTTTCAATTTTTATTAAATAAAATAGTAAAATGTAATAAATATTTTCTGAATGCTTTTCTCTTGCATGGAATCAACTACATGCAAAAACGTTTTAATTTGCTTAAGAACTTCTCAAGATATCGTGAAATGTGAGAAAAGTAATCTTCCTCATCTTGAAATATCCATCCCCCTTTAATTCATTAAATTTAATAAAGATAAGAATTCATTTTCATGGTAGAATTTTTTACCGAGGGACCTTCCACTAATTGCATAGAATTTTTATTGTACTTTATTACTTATTAAATTTTCAGTGCTCTTAAGTTTTTTTAATGTGAAATCAATAACATTTACTTAATTCTATACATATCCTTATGAATTCTGTAAGATGAATAGTATTAATCATGTTAATTTTTTGTTGAATATACTTTTACAAAAACTTTTTTTAAGTCTAAAAAATGTGCCTCATAGTTTATTTAAATTACAGTTTAACTAATTATAATTTTTTAATTAAAATTATTCCTATTTATGTTGTCAAATAACGTATTTATTAATTTAAGAAATAGAATATGCGACTACATGTTGAATATATTTAAAATTCTGCATAAATTGTTTTTATAGTAGCTAATGTAATCAAGAAAAGAAATTAGTTATTTTATCTTGATCATGTTAAGTTATTGATAATGTTTTTGCAATTTGTTTATTAATATATATATATATGAAGAACTTTAAACAATAGGAGGGAAAAATATTTTTATTAGTGTACATATCCCCATTATTATCGTTTGTAAACAAAAAAGTGCTGAAAAATATTTTTTGAGTGCTCTGCACCCGGATTTGAAATATTCCAGAGTTTTTTTGTTTTTTTTGTCAAAATTATGCTTGCTGTAACTCAAATTAATAATTACATGAGCTAATAGACATATAGTTTTCAGTGAAGATAAGCAGTAACAAAACGTTTTAAAGTTTATAATTTAAGATGTTTATGGAAATTAATAGTTCAAGAATCAAAAGATAGATCATTTTAAGAAAAGCTTTTTCAAATAGCTTATGAACGTTACATTTTTTTTTTATTTTAAGGAAAGCAACAATGAATTACAATGCTGGGCCCATAAAACCTGTGTTTGACTTTAATTACTTCGAATTAAATTTTTTTAATAATCAAGTTTCTATTTTTATTTGACTTGAAACCTTCAAATGTGATTTTTTGCAATTATATTGCAGATGGCTGCTCTTCAATCTCCTTTTTATGGGGAAAAAATGAATCTTTATGCTTTATGTAAAAAGATAGAAGAGTGTGATTACCCTCCAATTCCTTCTGATATTTATTCTGATGAGGTCAGTAATTTACAATTGAAATTTTTTGTTATATGTAATTGCTTTCACTGTAAATAAAAACTAATGAACTTATTAGATTTTTGCGTTTTGCATTAAAAATATTTCATTGTGATTTAGCTGATAAATAAATTTATATAATAAAAATATTTTCTAATTTTGTTTTCTTCAGATGAGAAATTTGGTTGCTGATTGTATTAATCCGGATCCTGATAAACGACCTGATATTAATTATGTGCATAATGTTGCTTTTAATATGCACAAGCAGACATCATCATCCGGAGCAACAAGTCCTGTCTTTACGTCATAAACATTTTTATTTAATTTCTAGCAATTGAACTGCTTACTTTGATGTTAAAACTGAACTTTTGAAGAAAAAAATGTATATTTAATTATAAAGATCCAAAACAGTATTATATTTGTTAAATACAAAATGGAGCAATATAGAATATTTTAAAAGTAGTTTGAAATTTTATAAAAGTGCAAAATTTAATTTAATGTATGAATTCTTTTAATATTCAACTTGTAATCTTTATAATTTAATTTACATTCCCATTTATATCACTTATACCAATTTTTATGCATTTTAAAAAAATTTCAAATTCTAATTTTTGAGCGTTTTTAAAAAGATTTTTTATACTTAGTTGCTTTGTTTTTAATAGTAATTATCATGTCAAGACTCCTATAGATTGACTGAATCGTAAGATTACAGTAAAATTTGTCTTTCTATTAATTCTAAAATTTGTTTTTAGGAACATAATGTAATCAAACTTACTTTTGAGAACTACTTAAAGCAATTTTATGATTCTTTTTATTTACAAAATAAGAATAATATTTGATTCATAAAATCAATGTGCTTGGCATGGCAGGGCCATGCAGAAAGAACAAGTGAAAATATGCAACAGAAAAATCTTAAATTGGAAATTAAGGAATATAAGACCTAACTTAAGACCAAAAAAAAGATGATTTCTTTATGTAAAGAAAGATTAAACCATAATGAAAATTTTAAATTAGAAAACAGAGGCTAAGAACTGAAAGGTTTGGAACAATATTGTTCAGCAAGCTAAGGCCCTCGGTGGGTTGTAGTACCATGAAAGAAAGATAACACAAAATAATTGCATTTTTAAAAAGGTCTAAATTATAATAAAACAAATTTTGTCATTTAAAGGTCTATTATAATTAAATAATCTGTTGTAAGTGTAATTTAAAAAGAAATAAGTTTGTATTCATCACAAAATGATTCATACAAACATTTGCAATAAATACTTTCAAATAGCAGGCTAAGAATATTTTTTAAATTTAATCTTTGCTATATTTTTTCACTTTTAATGTGAACACTTTTCATACATTACTTAGTATTGTTACTTTATCGCTTGGCCCAAACAAAAATAAAAAAATTTAATGCTTGTAAAATTCATTAAAAATGCATGCATTTTTATACTAAAATGCTATACTATTTGCTCTTCATTTAGTATAAATTTTAAATTTTTGTTTAAATGAAACTGAATGTGCAATATTAAAAACAAAAATTGATTTTTTTTTCATAATTAATGTGTTATCAGTAGAAGTTAAGACAGTATTCAATTATTTATTTTTTTGCTTCTTCACACCAAAAAATTATTGCATCTAAAATTAAAATTTTTTATCTAAATTTTAAAAGAAAAACTGTGTGCATTTGAACATTCTAAGTAATTATTCATGGTTGTGTGCCAGTGAAAATTTTTCATTCTTTAAATTGCACTATGTGTATATCTATGGCATAATCATTAAATTTAAGTAAGTCAAACATATATGTTACTTAGTTATTTGTTTAACTTTTTAGTTAGTCATTTTATTTACAAATACCAAAGATTTTTTGTTAACAAATAATTTTATTCTGATACTGTGATTTTTTTAAATGAAAATTGTATTGTAACTGCAGAAGTAATTAGAATTTGTACATTATTTTTGTTAGTCCTTAAGTTCAAAGAATACATTTTAGTTTGAAATAAAATTGGACAATTTCTATCGCTTTCCATTATCTTATTAGCTATTTGTGGCTTAAAGAACTATAGGTTTTTTGTAAAATTGTTAATCCATAACATTCATTTGTCCTTACTTTTAATCATATCATCTATCATTTATGCTATGGCAAAACAATTTGCATGTTTAGAGAATTTATATATTTCTATTTTATTACAAAATCTAATATGTTAAACATACTTACAACATTATTATAAGGAAATCTAATGATAACTAATTATCTAAATTAAAAAGAACTTGGTTTAATTGATTTTTTACTATAAACTATTTAGTGCACATTTTTTTTTAAAGAAAACAGGAAAAAATAAATTATTTTTTATAGAAGTGTTTCTTTTCATATATTTTTATAGTAAAATTTATGATATTTTTTTATTGTTATAGCAATTTAACTTCAAAATTATCAGACAAAGCAAAAATATTGTGGTATGGCTATTTCCTAACAGTAATTTAATCTTATAAAATAGATTTCATTGAGTAAAGCTTTTTAAAATAAGAAAATCATTTAAGTAAGTCTTTACAAACAGTTTTGAAAAAGAAGTTTTTTAAAACTTAGAAATCACTTTTTTTAAATATTTTATTCCATAACTATATTATTTTTGACATCAGATTTAACAAAAAAAAATTTTTTTCAGTATATTTTTAAATTAAAGCAACAAAGTAATGAAAATGGTTGTTTGTTGATTGAATGTTGTGAAAGTATCCCCCCCTCCCCAGTCTCTAGCTGCTATTGTAATGTGCCTTAATTTTACAATTAAAAAACCAACTGTGGTAGATTGTTTATTTGTGCAATATTTTTATACTGTTTTGATTTTATTGAATATATCTAATTGCATCCGGAAGCTAGATGCAATTGTTATATAAGAATAGCTTCACTGAGCTCAGCTTTGTGATTTTATATAAATTTTTTTTTTTCTGTGTTTCCTTTCTCTAAGACATTTTTGTATTTGTGCACTTTTTTATTAATTTGTTACTTGATGTACTGAAATATATTTTTTATATTTATTATTTTTGCCTAATGCATATTTGTTTAATAATATATTACGATTTATGTTAAAAATGTATATCTTTAAATAGTGCAATAATGTTCAGTCATATCCATATTTACTGTATTAATAGGAGCAAATTATACATTACATATACTATTAATTAACTACTATTAATTAACTAGTAATATTAAACGTGAACCCTCTGGTGTCAAACCGGTAAGATCACCCATCTTGACCTTTATTTTTCTCGTCATTACCTAAGCAGTTTTGTTCTAACAACTGTTATGAATAAATATATGAACAAAAGTTCTTCAATGTGAAAGCTAAATAGCTTTTTAAAATATTTTCAGTGAAATGTGATAAAACTTTACTTTTTCAATATTGTATCAATATTTTACTTTTTCAATAATTCAAGTAATGTTTATCTCGTTTATTGTTTTAAAATATCAAAGACAAATAAATTTTACTTTTAACATGTTATTTGTGTTTAACTGTAATGATTATGTGTGTTTATGATAAATTACAAGAGAAAATGCTAGATTTTTTAAAAAATTTATTTTCTTTTTTTGCTTTTTCTGAACACTATTTTAACTTATTGTTCGTTATATTTGAAAATATTTTTTGAAGTGTAAACTTTTTAGAAATTTAAATGACCATTATCGTCTTGTATAAAATGTAGCTCATATGAATTCTTCTAACTTTGATATACTTTCTAAGAGAAGACTTTTTCACAGATTTAAGTTAAACATGGAAATAGGTATGGGTATAAAGTTCAAACTTTAATAAAAATTCTATATGTAGTTTGTAAGAAAGATATAGAATTCGAGCTTAATTGCTGATACAATGATTTGCATTTTTATCTATCTTGACTAAATAAATTTGAAAGGATGAAAAACTAGGCCATACGGAACAGCTTAATAAATTACATTATTTCAATGAGAGATCTATGCATTTCCATTCTAATCAAAAAATAAATGCTTAATTTAAATGAAGAAAACAAATACAATTAATAGCAATGTATGATATAAAATGGAATGAAAACGCAAAATGTTATTTTTTGCCCAAAGGAGAACCTAAAACAGCTATTATTGATTACTAAATTAAAAAAGAATAATTATTCCTTTAAAAAAAAGAGAAACATATTACGAGAATGAATTGTTTTTATGTTTTATGTTTTCCATTAATTTAAAACCATATTTTAAGTATTAAACATAAAGGTTAAATTCAATTAAAAAATCATTGTGTTTTGCCTCTGTACTTTAAGTAATTTTTCTACTATTTTGGAATACTTTGAAATCTATTCTTTAAAATCTTTGGAAGTAATTTGTTGATTGACCCATTTCATTAGATTCTTTTTAACCAAGAACTATTATTTACAGTTGGAACTATAACATTCATTTTTCGTAGTAATGCATAAAAAAAATTTTATTAAAAAATAGATATTAAGTAATGTCTATTTTTTAATAAAGGAATGCTGCTGGAATTCCGTCTTTTTTGTTTCTAAATTAACAGGGGTTTCTCTCTCTCTCTCTCTCTCTCTCTCTCTCTCTCTCTCTCTCTCTCTTTCTCTCTTTAAATTTCAGCTTTTTTAAATGCTCTTTTCAGTTGAAATATCATTGAAAATTATTCATTGAAGCATTATATCTGACTTCTGAGGCATCAATATATTCTCTTATAAACAACTGAGAATTCAACTGTTGAACCTAGAAACAGCAGAAATAATAGGTATTGAAGCTAACTGAAGTAAAGCTAAGAAATAATACCTGAATAGGTAATTTTGCTATTAAATGTGGCTAATAAATATGCTCATTTTAATAACTTTCAAACCTTACATTAACTGTATTCTGTAACCATCCTGATAAATATTTAGAAGCTGTATCGAAAAATGACTAAAAAATATGCATTAGTGGTAAAGCATAAACTATCTATTATCAAAACCTGATTAATCACTATTGAAGAAAGTGAGATTAAGAATTTTAACCCTTTCTAACAGAGGTCTCTGGTGCATTCCTTAAATCTAATTCTTGTCTTTTCTGATTAAATACAACTTACTATTATGAGATGTTTGTCTCTATGATTCTATTCTACCTCTTTCCCTTGTAACAATTTTACCTTGACCTCAATATGGGTCCTATATCAACATGCACCGAGGGACAAAAATCGGTCTTTATGGGGCCGATATAGGGTCTAAACTGGCTAAATAATGAATATAAAATATCGGGAGATATCGGAAAATAACTGTCCTTTAAACCCTTATTGAGTCAAGATTCGCGAATATTGGTCCAATGAGGGTCCAAATTGTTTTGTTGCTTAGTTTATGTTGAAAAAAATTGAATTAAAATATTATAAAATTTAGCTTTTGTAAGTTGGTTTGCCTGAGTGGTTGAGCTTTTGAGAGTAATTTGTCCCGCAGTGGACTGGTCATTAAGACACGGTTCCTAGCGGATCAGCGAAGTCAAGCATTACTGACTGCGGTCAATATGCGGGTGGGTGACCACTTGGATCAGTCTGCGTAGGAACCGAGTGAGCGGTATGGGTCCTCGTTTAACTGTTCTACCGTAAAGTGCTCGAGTTCGCTTGCAGAGGAACAAAATTGTTAAAACATGTCTTCGGATCATCCTCAGGGATGTTTCCCAGAACGTCGCCAATAGCCCATTGTGCAGCTCAAGTGCGACGTAATTGAACTACAACAACAATTTTAAGAGTAATTTTTATTTCCTCTGAAAATCAAAGAGGTTTTAACTCATATATTAGCGTTCATCCATCGTATTTTTTTTTCTTTGTTTAGGTATTAATTAATGACTCCTGATGTATGCATCTTTTGAACTTCACTTGGTGGTTTCGAAATTTATTTTAATTCGCACACAAAAGAAGTAGAAAAACAGTGTACAAGTGAGAAGAAAGTAGTAGTACTTTATTTGCATAGCTTTAGAGTCGCACTAGACGTTCTAGGAGGACTTCTGTAGCTGAATGACCTTCACGCAAAGTCGGCTAGCGATAGAACATTTGAATGAGGGTCGGTACCACAAACCCTCAGTCAATTCGCGGGTTATCAAAGTAGTCTCTCACTCGCATACTGATCACTGCAAGTGTTACTTGGCCTTGGTGTTCTACTGGAAACCATATATTAACGATCAGTCCAGTGTGAGATACAAGTAATCAGAAAGAGAGACATGGGTTAAAAAAAATACTTAAAGACGATGTTTACAGCCCGTAACTGTCGAAATAAAGCTAACATGAAACTGTTTACGGGTCCCGCAGTGGACTGATCGTTAAGCAACGGTTCCCAGCAGACCACAGAAGTCAAGCATCACTGGCTGCGGTCAGTGTGCGGGTGGGTGACTACTTGGATCAGTCTGCGTAGGGACCAAAAGTGTGCGGTATTGATCCTCGTTAAACTTGCTCGACTTCTCTCGCAGGTAATCGGGTGATCGAAGCGGGGCTGCCATCCCCTCTGCAGAGGATTAAAATCATGATGACTTGTCTTCGGATCATCCTCTTGGATGTTTCCCAGACCGTCTCCAATAATCCATTGTGCAGCTCTAGTGCGACGTAAATAAACAGCAACAATCAGCTATTTGCGGTATGAATTTTTCAAAATTAAGCATCATTTTAATGTTGCTTAGTAACCAATCATTTGTTTAATTTTTAACTCCCACGCTTTATGTAAAACTATTTTAAAGATGAGAATAAGTATTGGATGCAAATATGCCAGTCTTTTACATGTTTATTAATTTCACCAATCAGGTTCTTATTCGTGGCTTTGAATTCATCTAAGCGAGATTTTTAGCATGCAGTAAGAACGGTCTCTTAAAATGTCTTCGCTTTAATTCCATCAATTTAAGGGATATCAAATTAACTGTATCTGTGCTTTTGCGGATCGGAAAGTAAACAAACAAATTTGAAATTGAAGAAAATAAACACAGTAATGAGAAAGTTTTGACCTTGCTTTTTATTATGAGATTTATAATTTTAGATTAGTGCATGATTATGACCATATTAAGTTCATTATCATTTAACCTGAGTCGATGTATTTGATGTACATTGCATAACTTTTCTTTGTCGTACTTATGTAATCAATCCAAATTGAAATAAATTTTTTTAATAAAAAGCATTTCTTATATAACACTTGTATTACTTTCAAAATTACAGTAACCATGTTTTAGCTTTAATTTCTCTATAATTTTTTTTTAAATAATCATGTTTTTGTTTAGTATTTTTCCCAGTTTATTACATTTATATTTTATCCTTTTAAACAAGATTTTTATGTAATTTTAATGTCAGTAAATCATAGTTTTAGGACTGTCAAAATAAAAATACATTTTTTAAATATTAATCCTAAGTTATGCGTAATTTAGATTATTATTATCTTGCTGTTTTATTTATCTTCTTTTTTACAGCTTATTGCTACAAACACTTCAAGTTACTCGTTTGTTGTGGAAAACTAATTTTAAATTACAAAATATTGTAAACTATGTTTTATGAAGGTGAATAAATGCAAATGAAATCTCAATTTAGAGATTTAATTCGTTATATTTAATTATTTTTTGAAAACAAATTTATTTATAAAAGATTATTAGCTAAGTTTTTAGTTTATTAATACAATTCAAATAATAAAAGTGTGTGTTTAAAAAATGTGAGATTTTTTTGTAAAAATATTATTATTTAACTTTATATTATTTAATTAATTTATTTCAGTATGAAATTGATGTTTATCGATGTATTAAAGATCTCCTAGATCCTTATGATTAAAATTTCTACCATTATGTAGGTTTTGAATATATTTTTAGAAAATCCCTAATTTAAAATAAGTAATGAGTAACAGTATGTACTAGCTAAACAATACCAATGTTTTAAAGCTACAAATCTGCATTTTCCTCATCATTATATATTCTTTCTATGTATCTGTGTGTAGGTTTCTAATTTTTTTTCTCTTTTAACATGAACTATTAATATGAAATTTAGGATTTGATCATTTTATTGTAACATAATTCATAACTATAAACATTAGTGGAAATTTGAAGCAGTAGGCATAACTTTAGTTTGTAACTATAATATGGATGATAAATATTTAATTCTTAAAATTTACAGATGAATTTCAATTGAAATAACAAGATCAAAATTAACAGGACACAAGCTTTTTTAATGCAAGTTGTTCAAATATATTTAGTATTTTTTCTACATCACAAATCATTTTAACATGATCAACTGTTTTTGAAAATCAAAATATCAGCTAACAGTTACATAATTAAAAAGCTCTACATCATTGACTTAAGTTATTTTAATATTTTCACTATTTATCTCTAAAGCTTTTTTTTTTAAAGTACCCATAATTTATTTTTGAAAATTTAATATTTATTATAGCAAAAACTTTCCTATAAGCAAGATAATTTTTAAATTTTATCAAATAATTTTCTAAATAGTTTTATAAAGCAAAATTTTCTCAGCCTATTGTAGGAATGCTTTACTTTATATGATTTTAAAGTTGCATATTGATATTATCTATGAATTTGGAAATGATTAAATTTTAAAAAAAATATTTAAAAAAAATCTCAATTTTCTTATAGTTAGCTCAAAAGTTTATTTTTGTCAGTTGATAATTTATTTAAATAACATTTCTCTTTCACTAACTTGAAATAATAAGTTCAGAAAATATTTCACTTATCTCTACTTTAATTTATTTTTATTGTTGTATGTTTTCTTTTTTTTTGTAGTAAAATTTTAATAGTTCTTCATAAATGTGTTCCAATTTCTATTTCATATTTTTAGTAGAAAATAATATTGCATATAGTTATTTTAAAAATTGTTCATATATATACACAATTATTTATTTTATTGTTTTTCTCGTATTTTAGCATGTTGATATTTTGAGTATAAACAACATTTTGAATAACATTGTTGTCTAATTATAAACATAGAATTACTTTATTCAAATTAAATTTTCTATTTTTGTAGATATGTTAAAGTCAGTAGTTTTCAAGCAAATCAAATGTTTCGGACCTCAAAATAGATGTTTCTTGTTGAATAAAAAGTTTTCAACCAAATCACTTACTCCAAAGAAGATTGACATAGGTAGATATGCTCTTTTGGTAAGATTTATTCTTTTCACTTAATTAAAAGAAAATATTATAAGCTCCTAATTCCCTGCAGAATCGGAGGAGTCTCTAAAAATCAGGGATATGTGACGTTTTTTGTTTACTAGTTTAAAATTAGTTCCTTCACTTCTCACGAAAAAAATATAAAAGCTGTTTATATTTCTTCTCTCCCCGTTTTTACTTACTTTTTTTTTTTCACTGAAAAGTACAAAAGAGAATGCTTTAATTATGATGGAAGTGAACAGTATGCAGCCTAGGAGCCAAATATAGCCCTTAAATTGCCATTTTTTGTCTCCTTGATTAAAATAAATGTGCTTTGAAAATTTTTTCAAAAATATAAAATATGTAAATAATTTATAAACATTAAGATATTATGAAGCTAGTTTTCCATAAAGGAAGTTGAAAACCTGTTATAATTTTACAAAATATTTTAAAATTTCAAATATTTTTGAAATCAAGCATTTGAAATTTTTTGAATTCAATAAAATTATAACAGGTTTTCAACTTCCTTTATAGAAAAACTGCCTTTATAATTTTTTTTTATTTAATTGTATATACATTTAGTAAATATTATTTATAATTTTATGTGATTATTTTTTTTAAATTTATAATCTTAATTGATATTAGACAAAATTCATTCATTCTTAAAGTTCAATTTTTTTCCTGACATCTCTTTCTAAATATTTGTACACTCATGAAATAAAAGTATTTAAAATAAATAGATATATGAACAATAAATGCATTACTATAAAATAAGACAAAATGACAATGGTTATAATGATTGGCTTTCATTCATCTTAAAGTGATAAACAGAAATTAAATTTTTTGAACCTTGAATAATACTTCATTTTTTATAACATTACATTGAATATATAGATGGTCCAAGGACGGAACAGAGCAGCTGATAGTCAAATCTATCTTATTGATTTCTATTTGCTTTAACAGTGAAATGTTTTATTTCTGCCAGTATTAATGTTGTTATTTCTAATAACTCTTGAACAAGCCAATCTAACCTGCTTGCCTTGGAAATTAAGTCAGGAACAAACTCCTTTGGTTAGACAAGAGTATCACTAAGATGAAAGTGAAACTTATCTCGTAGCCCATAGATGGATGGTACCACCACTCATTTACAAGGCTATTTTCGAAATTTAGACATAGATCTGAAGGAGAAGGAAATTTTCTCCAGATCCACACCAGGCACGCAGCAACTGCTGACTGGGCTTTCAACTCCACAGATTTTACCAGCTTGTATTAGTTATGTTTGCATATTAATCACAATGAATGTTTTTTTCCTTCTTTTTATAGCATTTGTCTTATATATTGCAGATTTGGCTGCAACATTTTATTATATTAACTGAGAAGCTTATTCCATTGTTGTAGATTTTTTTTCAATATCATATTATTTATCTTTGCAAAAATAAATAAATGAATAAAAAGAAGATTGTGGATACTCAGAAGTTTATTGTAGCAGTAAATAACCTGCAGTGTCTAGAAGGAGAAATAATATAATTACATTCTATTAAAATATAGTTAAATGTAGATTTAAACTAAATTAATTATTTTGCTTTTTACCTAATTTCATATACTATGTGCTTGCAAACTTTTTGCAAAACTTTCTGTATTGAGCTGAATTTGTTTGGGAAATTAATTCAACACTATAATTTATTTTATGTTAAGCTTGACTGTTTTTATGAATATTTTTGTTCCTAAAAATGTCTTACAGAATGGGCCAATTAATCACCCAAATAATATTTATGAATATACCTTTTGCTTTTCTTCAAATGTTGGATATCCTGAACAATATTTCTTTTAGATTATTGTGATATTTTTTATGGACTATTTGTTTTTGAGGCCATGCAAAATAATTATTTTTAAAAATATTGCATTATGTAGTTTTTTAAATATTTTTTTTCCATTGCAATTGGTTTGTTAATTCTATTACAGTACAGAACCCGTTATCCGGAAATCAGAAAACCGGAAAACCAAAAAACCGGAATGAAATTCCATACATTTTCCCACCATTTTCAAAAAAAAAAAAAAATTTTTTTTTTCCTCATAAGATTTCAGGATTTTTCTTTCTATTTTGAAAGATGTTTACCTTACCATCATTTTGGAAATAATCATTAGTGTATTACTTCGTTTTAAGATTATTTCCAAATTTTTTTTTTTAGTTGGGTTTAACAATAAAAAAAAAAAAAACGGCTTTTTGTAGCGATTCAGAAAACCGGAAAAATCAGTTATCCGGAATAGCGATGGTCCCGATCGTTCCGGATAATCGGTTCCCTACTGTAATTTGAACTTTATATGATAATTGTCATCTCTTCCTTTTAAATTTTTAATAATATTAATTTTTTAGGCAGTGCCAATTACAACATTTTGCTTAGGAACTTGGCAAGTTCAAAGACGAAAATGGAAGTTAAATTTAATAGAAGAAGTGAAATCAAAAAGTATGTCTCCTCCTGTAGAATTACCTGATAAGTAAGTGAAAAAATTAAAAAGAAAAATTGCCAGCTTTAATAAGATGGTATAATATTATAATGTTTAGCAAACTTTTGTTTTTTGGGAGAATAATCAATACTATGACTGTTCTTTATGATGTTCGACTTACATTCAAATTATATTATTGTGATTTACACTTCTGGTGGTCATAGCATGTTAATCAAATGAACAAACTCTAAGCAGCATTAAGTTTTTAATCATTTTGATATTAATCAGGTTTGCTTTTAAATATATTTTTAAAATCTCAAGTAAATTAAAAGTAAAACACTTTGCTCTTAAATGTTTAATAAAAGTATATCAAGTTCTTTTGTTGCTAGCAAGTACTCTCTTCGAATATCTTCTTGTTTACTCTCATCCTCTCTCAATCCAAGTTTTTTTGTACTTTTGTCATTTTCTTTGTATGACCCCCCCCCTCATTTTTCTGATTTTTTGTACCTTTTTTATTATACAGCTTCCCTCCCCCTAACAATGGGAAAAATAACTCCTCTAGCAGAAACTTTCAATCATGAAAATGAAGTTATCAAACCTATGCTGCAGTGTATGCGTTTTATGTTGTGTATAAAGATTAGGTAGTTAAATTATTGCTTAAAACTTTAAAATTATTGCTTGTTATAAATTTATTATTTTTGTAAGTTATAAATTTAAAGCTGGTGATGGCGATTTAAATGTTCAAAGATTAGAGGATCCTTTACTAATTACTTTATTTTTTTTAAAGTTTTAATTTTTGCCAATTTAATTCAAATTCAGTTGAGTATTGTTAACTAAATCTTTCTTATTAAAATTACTATAATTATATTTTAATGTTATCAAATATCACTGAATTAAGCCTTTAATGTATCAACATTTTAAGAGAATTTAAACAACTTTTAAAAACTATATTTGCTGGTTTTTTGATCTTCTTGTGATTGCTATTGGCAACCTTGTATGTTAAAAGATATACCTATTCAGGGTATCACATAATTAATTTATTCAAGGTTTGTGTTAAAAAATCAAAAAACTTTCTACACAGTATGTTTTTTTCAGTGGAAGTTGAAAAGAGGAAAGATGTCTTTTCATGAAAAAAGAACGAAATGAAAACTGAAATTTTTTTTTAAATTATCGCTATCTCATTATTGCTATCTCGTTTAAAAAATAGTATTATTTTCTAAACAATTCAATGCATCATTTTTAAATGAGTGTAAACTAAAATACAATAATTGAAAAGAAAAATATATTCAATACATTTCTAAAAAAATCCAAAACAACTTTTCCTTCCAATATTTCACATAAAAATAATAGCAAAAGCTAATACTATAATTATATGAAGAAAAAAAAATATCTTTATCAAATTCTATTAACTCAATTAAATTTACAAATCAAAATCTAAACATACACACTACTACAAATTGCATGTAGAATATCCAATTATATTTTGCATAATATACAATTATATATTACATACTGACTTTTGTAATCAAATAGTGTTAGATATAAAGAGTCAAACCAATTATTTTATGGTGTGACATATAAATTAGATTTTGAAATTCTGTATGAAAGTAAAATAAATAAAATAACATGAAAATAGTTTTTCCTTTAAAAAGTGAAAATAAATCTAAGGTGAAAAAAAATTTACTTTCTGGTACTATAAATTCAATCTTCTTATAATATTTATTACAAAGTATTGATCATTCTTAGTTTATTTCCAATTTTGTTTGGTTTCTAAAAGTGTCTTTGACAAAATAGATTTTTCCAGAAAAAATTTCCAACTCTTTTTCTCTGATTAATATAGTGTTAAATCTTGTTAGCATAACATCAAATGAGCAACATCTGTTTATTTGTATAAATTGTGAGGTGTTGAAAACTTAAATGTTACTTGGTAAAACTTCACATCAAAATTTCCTTTTCAGAATTAGTTTTTTTTTTGTGTAAATTACGTGCATTTGATATCAGATTCTCTCATTTAGCAGCATTTAAGCAAAAATATTGTTAGTTGATAAATTTCCTTTGCACAACAGAAGTATTCTTGATTGTTTTTCCAACAAATGTTTTGTATTTTTTCTCTTTTTTGAAATTTAATGCCAATTATTCAAATGTAATCTTATAAAGATTAGTTTTTATTTTATTTGCCTGTATACTCAGACTGCTTGAACTTATTGAAAATTCGTAATTGTATATTAAATTAATAATTAGCATTTAATTTAGCTGTTTATTTACAATCATTTATGCTTTAGTTGTTTGTTTATATTTATGAATAATATCATATTTGAGTAATATAATGAATTGAGTAATATAAGTAATATATTGAATAATACTTATTTACTAATTTTTTTGCCAACACAAGAAGTTTTGTTTCAGTTAATAAAGAAGTATGAATAATTACAGTACAGAGCATTTTGTAATAAAAAATAGGTTACAATTTTTAAAAAAAATACCTTGAAAATAAATTCAAATTAGTTAGAATCAAATTATATAAATCTATCATAATGTTTCTTTGTTTCTTAACTTCTTGTTTGTTTACAAAAATATGCAACTGAATTAAGAAGTTTTAAACTGTATCCTGTGCTGTGTGTTTTTTATTGTAATTTTAATTATATGTAGTGAACTAAGTTTTCTTTCATAGTAAAAAACTTTTTCACTTTATTGAAACTTAATAATTTTTTTCGATATAGGTTAATAAAACTCTTCAGATGATTTTATTTTTCTTATTTCTATCATATTAGTTGTTGTTCATTTTTAAATTAAATAACTGCAATGCGCTCACTATGTATTGAATTTTATTAATTAATCTATGAAATTTAATTTAATAAACTAATAATTTTTTTCATTTCAAATCGTGTAGTCTGAAAAATTCAAACAATGTAGACTACCATATTGTTTAAACCTTCCAAACTGCATAAATTAAAAACTTTTTTATTACCTATGAAATTTACCTAATGAACTCATATTTTTTTACGTTAAATATTATGTCTGGAAGATTTAAACCTTCTGGAATCCCATGATTTTCAAACCTTCTAAACTGCTTTAACTGAAAGCTATTATTTTATCTATGAAATTTACTTTAACTGCTTCTTTATTAATGCAGCTGTAAGTTTAAAATAGTGTGATATTATCTACTCTTTAAGTCTTCCAGACTGCATAATTTGTAAGACAAAAAAAAGTTATTAAGTTAAATTCCATTGATAATAAAGTTAAATTTCATAAATTAATAACTTTAGCTTTCCATTAATGCAGCCTGAAAGATTTGAAAAATATGATATTCCACATTGTATTTAGTTGAAAAATATGGTATGCCATATTGTTCGAATTAATATTATTCAACTGCCATCATTTTATCTCTGAAGTTTAACTTTATAAACTTATATTTTTTCTGTTATAAATTATGTAGTTTGGAAGATTTAAACAATATGGAATACCAGCGCATCCGTGTACGTGGAAAATTTGACCATTCAAGAGAAATGTATATTGGCCCTCGAGCATTAATTACAGAGAAGGATGAAGGAGGAGGGTTATTATCTTCTCGTTCCCAAAGTGGGAATATGGTTATCACTCCATTTCATGTAGCTGATAAAGAGTAAGTTATTTTGAAATATATATTAATAAAGTGACTAAGATTATTATTTTTAGATTAACTTCTAGAAATTGAGAAATATCACCATGCTAATTTATACAGAAACTTTTTTCTCTTACTTGTTGTTCCCCTTTTTGTTCACTGTTTTTGTAAGAGTTTGTCATTTTCTTTTGCCATTAGAAATAAAAAAAAAAATTATATAGAAAAATCCTTTCTTTGTCTTATTTTCCTTTTTACAATGTTGTATATTTCATAAATTTAATCAGCAGAAATTTTTTCATTAATAAATCAAGAATGAGTCCCTTGATATAAAAAAGTAAACTCAGTTTAATGTGTAAAAGAAATAGGTACTGTATCTACCTGTGTAAGTTAATCTGTTGTATAAGTTCTCGCCTATTTCAAACTTTAGGATCGAAGATTTTGTATGTACTCATTTTATAAGTTGATCTTATGAAAATAATTTTTTTTAATGGATTACGATATTATTTTTAAAATCTAAAGCAGGTAAGACATTTCAGATTTATCAAATCAATAATACCGACTGAAAAAACGTATGATGGAATCTAAAAGTTTTATTTTTGTTATAAAAAACTTTGATTGGTACAGTTTTTCTTTCTACAGCAATCTATATTTGCTTAACTCAAATGAGTTGAAGCTTCTTGTCTAATAAAAAAATATTAGTTTATTTTGATAAAGTGAACTAAGTTTAATTTGTAAAAGAAATAAGTACTGTATTTAACTGATATTCTGTATATGTTTACCCCCCCCCCATTTTAAATTTCAAGATGGAATGATTTTGCATCTACTCATCCTATAAGTTGACCTTTGAAAACACAGCGTTGATGAAAAACACATTTTTAACTCATTGCAGTAATACTGATAATTAAGTTTCTGAAACCTAATACAGTTGAGGCATTTTAAATTTCTCAAGTGAATAGTAACAACTGAAGATATGTCTGATAGATTCTTAAAAGTTTTATTTTTGTTATCTTTGATTTCAAATGTATTAGTGCTGTATGAGTCAAAGCCCAACTATTATTGCAATATATAGGTACTATTAAACTACAATACCAATTATTTTTTAAATTCGATTAGCTTTAAGAAAACAATTTGCAATTTTTTTAATAATACTAATGTAGTTATACATTTTGTATTTTTAAAAAAAATATGTTTTTGCATGTATGCAAATTGCTTAAATTATTATAAATTTGTATTTATGAATCAAACTATAACATCATAGTTATTAGCATTAGTTATAGTATAGCAAGGTATTAAATCATTTAATCTTCTAAACCACTTTTACCAATTATTATTATTTTTTTTTATCATCAGTTTGTTTTCGTAGTGTGACTTTTTTTACTCATTCAACCTTTTAGTATTTTGCTACCTTTTAAGTTTTTCTAGATTCATAACCATATTTTAAAATAAATAAGCATTCATTTTTGACTATTTTAAGCTGTGAAATTTTTATGTATTCAAAAGTAATGTTTTTGTAATTGTTAAAGTTAGTTGTTATTATAATATTTATAAATATTTTTCAGTTTAACAATCCTGGTTAATAGAGGTTGGGTTCCAAGAAATAAATCTGATCCTTCCAAGCGGCCTGAAGGACAGGTAAATCTACAGACAAAAATTCACTAACTATGTTCATAATTATTTTGTAATCCACTGTAAAAATTTTATTTAGAAAGATTTGGAAAAATTTTAAAAAGTGCCTTGTGGAAGCAATATTGCCATTTTACAATTTTCAAATCTTTATCTTTAAAGGTAATGCTGTATTATAAAAATTGTTAGATTCCAAATTAAATTTGATAGCTAAGGTAGTTTTGTAAAATTATTATTACTTTATTTGTAATTTCATTTAATGTATTATTAAAAGCATTTGTGTTTATCTCTTTATTAAAATATTGCAGACAGAAGTTGCTTTTGTCTGTTGTTTCAAAAATTTTGCTACTGTTATTTAAAATTTCTTAACATGCTATATCAAATATGTGTCTTGAATATATTGAATTGACTATTATTGAAATATATTATTTTTATCTGATCAGATCTTTCACATTTATTTTAAGTGAACAGACAAAAGATGTGGCAAATTATGCTGAATTAAAATTTGCCATGCATCTGTTCTTAATTGAATATACCCTTCCAATAATTGAATATACCCCGGGCTACCTTAGTCAATTATAGTTAAAATTAAGAAACTTTTTGTATTTCAATCCTGTTTAATGAAACACTTTTTTAATATTTTATCTTGTATCAAAAATCAAACAGATAGATTTTTGAAAAATATGAGGTTTTATTATTACATTTTTGTAATGCTCTCAAAATGTGTGTATATCCTAAACATGTTTTAAATAAACATACACAAGTAAATGATGTGAATTTCCCAGTGCCCTTTTAATAGCATGCAGGGCCCCCAGGCACAGAAATGTTTTGGGCTTCTATAATATGCCATACTGTTTAAAATCGAACTAAAAAACTTCACCTATATAAAATTAAGCATTTTTAATCTATGCATAATTTTAAAAAAATTCAATGCTAAGCTGTTCCAATCCTCAAATAATAAAGTAATTTTCAAAATCATGGAAGCCAATTAAAAAGCATAAAGATATAACAAATAAAAAATAATCAAAAGATATAGACTATTTCGTTAAACTATTTCTATTTTTAAAACATCTTTCAATGCACATCAGATATAAACCCGTTCAGACATAAACATTTTGGCTTATAATGCTTTCATTATTTTAAAGATGATTTATAACAAAATATTTGTGCTTTATTGACGTTTAGAACTGAAACAAAAAAATATCTTTTATCGAATTGACCAAATCCGTTGAGGCAAATTGAAAAATCCACTTTGAAATCCCCTTTCCTCAAAGATTATTCATAAATTCCATTATTTTTCAATATTGCAAAAAAATAGTCTTTCGGCAAATGAGAAATGAAATTTACTAGTGTTAGGTTATATAATTTTAATAATTTAATAAACTTTCTTCTCTGCAATCTTTATTTTTATAATTTCTGATTCAGAACTGAAAATAGGATCCAAAAACAATTCAACAAATGAACATAAATGGAACTATAAAGTATTGCAAAGAACTATAGACTGCCTTTAAGAAATTGAAATTAAAGCAAGTCAGCTGATCTATGTACATTTTTTCGTTTTAGTAATACAAAAAGACAAGTTTGATTAGAAGCTGTTAGAAAAAAATATGTATTTCTCAAAAGCTGTGTATTTCTAATTTCTGCAGCATTTATGCAAGTTATTAATAAAATCCTCTTTAGATGCATTAAGCTTTACATTAAGATAGATCGAAAACTTTACCAAGAAAAGGGAATTATGTCTCTCAGTACTATGTATGATGGTTATTTATCATTCAGGAACTACTGCCTTTTAACATTTCTATTTTTGCTCTTCATGTTGTCTTTTATATTATTATATTACAATAAAACATAAAGATACACAGGCATAAAAATTAAAATCAAAATAGCTAACAGATATTATCATGGATTTGGAAACCAATTCAAATCTAAATACATAAGTTCCGAAACAAAAATACAGTTTTACAGGACACTAGTGACATACAAAAATGATCAATGATTATCCAATAAGGTGACTAGGACATGTATTTTGATATGGCGATAGAAATCCCGTTTAAAAAAATAACCTTTCAAACACTAGAGGAAAAAGAAAAAGAGCTAGAACAAGATGGTTAGATAGAGTAAAGAAGTGGTTAAAGGACTCAGTTAATAGATGTAGAAATATAGCATCGAATAGATCTAAAAGGGGTAAACTGACTGAGACGGCCTTGGTCTCTAACTGGCTGTAACACGTAAGAAGAAGAAAAATATAACCTTCAATTTTAGGGATTATATTTGAAGTTATAATTTTTTATTCTCTTAATAAAAGTTGTTGTTTTTTCTTTAAAATAAATTTCTGAAACATTTTTTTTAATGTTGCAATGTTTAATATCAGAAAGCTGTATTAAAAAGACTCTTCCATTTTAACTTAGATTACAAAAGAAATAGAGCTTGTTGGGGCGGTAAGGCTGCATGAAAATGTAAGTAATGTAAAAGACAATTCCTTTTTTTTCTTCAGAAATGTATTTTAAAACTGTTTTATGTTCTATTATGAAAGTATTTAAAAATATAGTATATGTAGTAGTTTACGCAGTAATATTTGTATCTTATAAAGCATTCATAAATTTAGATAATAATCTTTCCATACATTTCATCAAAATTTAAGTGATTTATTTAGGAGGATTTTTTTAGAAATTTTTTCTTAGAATTTAGTTTAGAAATTTTTTTATTATGTTGATGATTGTGTTTTTTTTATTTGAAATGTTCCTAACCAGTTCTAACTTTAGTTGTAAGAAAATTTATCTCACTTATGTTGTGAGGTAATTTTCTCAATTTTTTTCAGTTGTAAAACATTTTTTAATTGCATTATTTTTTTTTTAAAAAATCTAACTATTCTTCTATTTGCAATAAAAATAAAATTCTATAATTACCTCTCTATTTACTTCATTAGCGCTTTTATTTGGCTCAGAAAAATATGTATTCGATATTGTTTGAAACTGATGGGATCAGAAATATTTGTTTTTGATACTGATATCAATTTATGTCAGCAATTATGTTTTTGCTTAGCATACTTAAACTAAATAAGTAGCGTATACAGTAGAATTTGTCACTATTACTTCAGTTCATCCTGAGTTTTTTTAGTAGTTATAATTCATATATTTTAGATGATACTTACTTTTTACATAATTATAGCACTCCAGCTAATTAGAATTTTATACTTTTCATTTTAATTAAAAATTAGTTAATGAGTGAATTACAAATTAAATGTGAATAATTTGGACAGATTTTTTTTTGTTTACATGTTTATGTATGAAAATAATTTATTTAATATGATTTTATTCTTAGATTTATGTTTACCTTACTTTAAAAATTATTTTAGATATGAGATTAGATATAATAATTTAAAAACTTTTTAGATATGTTTTAAGCATATGCTTATTAATTTACTATATTGTTTCAATTGTTTATTTATTTATCCATTAACTAGAGACCTCAGTTTTCCCCAAAGACACAGTCAGATCCTAATTATTTTTATTTTCGAGATGTAAATAAAATGGCGGCAATCTCTGGAGCATTACCGATATATGTTGATGCTGATGTTAACAGCACTGTTCCTGGAGGACCAATTGGAGGACAAACAAGGATGTCCTTTAGAAATGAACACCTTTCTTACATAATAACATGGTAATTTCTTTAGTTTCTTTAAAAACAATTAGCAAAAAGCTAATGTATTTCTAAATGATTATTAGTAAGAAGTCTTTTTTAATCTAATTTTAGGTATTTTCATACATGGTGATATTGTTTTTTATGAATATTAATTCTGACAAATTAGGAAACTTATCTATTGTTATCATGTTAAGTTACCACAAGTATATATTGAGGTATAAAAAATGTAACAAGCTGAAAATATTTTCTTTAGCTTAAAATAGCTAATTAATGTGTAAATTATTTTCTCTACCTTAGCATTAAAAAAAGTTCTGAGATAAAAAAAGATCCAGTTGTTTTTAGTTAATCTGGTTAATGTGTTTTTAATTAGAAATAAATTGAAACACTGGGATTTTGAAGCTAAGTTTTAGAATATATCAGGTGCAAAAAAAGTTTATATTTTTTTTAATTGCATGTCTTAATGCAAAATAACTGTCCTTACTTGTTAAGAAAAATCAACATTTAACAAAAAGGCATTCTTTAGCTTTTACAAAATATAATTGTTGACCCTTTTTTAAACTTTTTTTTAGAGAAAAATAGTGTTATCATAGCATTTGCAATATAGTCTTAAACCTGCTTGTCCAAATAAAGAGTTGTTAAATTAACGTTTCTTTTTTAGTTTTTGTCGTTTTTTATTTTTTTCGAACTTGTTCTACATTTTGCACTTAAAATCATAGCTATTTCTTAAAAACTAATAAAATAATATAAAAGTGCAGAAATTAATGCGTTAAACTATGAATAACAATTAGATCTTAAAGAACATGAATATTATCAATCAAACTGTTTTATACTTGTGAGGAAAAAATTCTTTTCCTTTATTTTCTAATTATTAGTAAATTCGTTTCTGGGATTATCTTAGAAATATACATTATAAGTGTAATTCTGTTTAATTTCATTTAATGTCAATCTGAAAAAGAGAAAACTAGCTGTTACTGGAATTCCATATTTATTAGAGTATTTATTATCTAAAATTCTGTGAGTCATAATAATTTACTTTGAATTTTGTATTCATCTCCCAAAATCAGTATCCTTAATAATTTACTTTATTGTGTCTAGCGTTAACATAATTTAAAAATAGAATATATATAGTATATTAAAAATTTAATTTATAAAAAATTATAAAAAATATTTCTTTATTTATATACCTCTTTTAGGTACTCTCTATCTGCTGGGACATTATATATGTGGTGGAAAATGTATTTGCGTCCATTAAAGCGGTGATGTAACTTTAGTTTATTTTAAAAAAGATAAATTATTCAATAAAAACTTTTAAAGATCCCAGTGACATATTTTATTCTTTATATTTTACATAAAGATTTTTAGTTTTTTGAAAGCTATCAATCTTCAGAAATTGTAAGCAAAATCATCAATTCCAAAAATAAGGTAATAGTTTTATGTAAAGTATACTAATAAATATTTATTTAAGATCCTTCTTCAATAATCTTTTTTTTCCTTGAAAAAAAAGGAATATTTTTTGATAACATATTTATTGGTATCCTTAAAAACATATTTATAGAAGTAAGGAATGAATCATGAATGCATTTAAGCAAAGATAAAGAATGTAAGTAATATGTCATATTCTGTAATAATATATCATTTCTGCAAAAAAAAAAAAAAAAAAAAAAAAAAAATAAAAAAAANAAAAAAAAAAAGGAATTTAAAGAATATAGATTATATGCATTTCAATAGCATTAAGCCATGAGTAAAATAAAATAACTTTATATCAAATTTTCTGTGACAGTTATTTTAGCTTTAAAAAAAGTATATCTTAAAACCTTATCTTTATGAACACTTCATTTTACTAAGCTTATCTCATACCTGTAGACAAAGTTCAAATGCATAACTCCACCTTACATGATAACATAAGGAGTCTATTTCCTTTATTGTTCATGGACGGCTGATAATATTGATAAAAAATTGAGTGTTTTCTTAGTTGGAAAAAAATGAGTTTTAGATAAGGTAAAAAGAATTTGGAATTGAATTATGCGTACTTGTTGGAAAATTAATGTTTGTTTGTGAAAAATCTGACTTAATATGCATTTTGCTGTGTTTAAACTATAAACAATAGTTATTGATTTTTAATTTTTGTTTCAATTGTAAAACTGTTTAATAAACATGGAGAAGGTTTTGTTTGCTGATCTTTTTACCAAGACATTGAGAAAAACTCTTGTTAAAGTACCAAGAGTGGTCATTGATGATCCAATATTTAGACTACATTACAAAGTCACTGGATTGGCTTTGCTCTTTGCCAGTATCTTGGTTTCAGGTTACCAGTTTTTTGGTAACCCAATTATGTGCATTCAGAAGGATGACATACCAGAACAGCTTCTTAACACATATTGCTGGATTGAGTCAACATTTACATTGCCTAAAGCTCTCTTTCAAGAAGTGGGTGTGGAGGTTGTATATCCAGGAGTTGGAAAATACACTCAAGGCGATGAAATTGTAACGCACGCCTACTACCAATGGGTATGTTTTATGCTTTTGCTGCAAGCCATTATGTTTTGCTTACCAAATGTTCTATGGAGAGCCCTTGAATCTGGAAAAATGAGGAGTCTGATTAAAAAGCTTTATGAGCCAATTCCTGTATTGGAAGAAGGTCAAGATCTTGAAACGTGGTTCAAAGGAATTGCAAATTATTTTAGATTAGGACGCAGTGAGCACCAACAATATGCTATGAAATTCTTCGTATGCGAGGTATTGAATTTCGTTAATGTAGTTGGCCAGATCTTCTTAATTGATAAATTTCTTGGTGGAGAATTCAGGAATTACGGTACAGAAGTTTTTAAATATGCCAATACTGAACAAGAGGACCGCTTTGACCCGATGATCAGAGTATTTCCACGTATTACAAAGTGCACCTTTCACAAGTACGGTTCCTCAGGTGACGTGCAACGACATGATGCGCTGTGTCTTTTGCCTTTGAATATTCTTAATGAGAAAATTTTTATCGTGATGTGGTTTTGGTTTGTTATTTTGGCCATTTTAGGCGGTCTGTTGATAGTTTACAGGTTGATTGTCATGATTTCTAATCAGGCCCGTTTCTTGCTGCTGTCCTGCGTTGCAAGTTTGAGTGCAAAAGGAGATATTAGGGACGTTATAGCCAACCTTAGTTATGGAGACTTTTTCATGCTTTATACTTTGGCTGATAATATTGATAATTTGCATTTCCGCCAAATAATCCTTCTCATAAAAGAATCGCAATATGAAATGCAATCAACGATGCGCGCAACAAGTCCAAATAAATTGATAATTGATGTACCTGATAAAGGTTATCCATCAAAAGCTATGTCTTCTAAGGAAAGTGATGCTTTAATAGATAATGGTGAAAGCTCAGTATGAAAGACATAAAGCTATTGTTTAAAACTGAGTTCAGTCTTTAATATACATCATTTTATTTTGTGCTTTAAATATTAATGTTAGTTTTGTTTGCTTTAGATGTTAGACTTATTATTTTTTTCATTAATATACTTTGTGTATACCTTTATTTCTAAAATATAGATTAACTTCTATTTTAATAAAAATATATATGGTTGGATTTAGCTGCATTAAAAATTCTTCATTGGATGCACTGTGAATACATTTGTTTATGAAATAAGAATTTTTGATATGTAAAAAAATTTAATCAATTTTTTTTCATTCATTTTTAATAAATGCATTTATAATTAAAATGACTTGAATAAAAGTGTATTTAAGTTTATATTGTGCAGTAAAAACTGTAAAAGTCTATCTACAATTATTACTACCTTTAGAACATAATATCACAAGTTCATATAATAATCTATACAAAATTATTTTTCTGCTTTTTTTTTATTTTTTTTATTTTTTACTTTAATAAAAAATATTGACATTGGTGAATATGTTGCTGTTCATTTTGAGGTTAATTATTAACTGCAGTGATAAACCTAGCTGTATTAAAAAGTAGCTGACTGTACTTTAGTTTTATCTCTAAAAAAACAAAATTTATTGATTTGAGCTTTTTGAATTGAAAGTTTTGAAATCAATTCTTTTTGTGTGTATACTTATATTCAGTTAAGATGTGCTGTACACCGAAAAAAATATGCACGTTTTAAATGAAAAAAGAAGAAAAAACAGTATTCACAAATACAAAATATTATTATATAATCCACCCAGGAGACCTTTTAAATTTGAAACTCTAATCAATATTATAATCTAATCTGAAGTTTTTAAAATTCACTATTTTTAAAGCTAGAGTACATATAGTTAACGCTCTGAAAATATTAAAATTCAAACATTTACTATTTGTACTCAACTTTACAAAATCACGCCCACCTTTTCATTATTTATAACAATCAGCAAAACTAAGTACCAAACTTCTTACAAACACCTGATACTTGCTTCAAAACTTTAAAAATTGCATTTTTGTTTCTATGTGCAACATTCTAAAGAAAAATTATATATTTTATTAGGTCTTGTTTACTTTACCTGTTTTTTTAGTAAAATGTTGAAATTGGCAACATATTTAAATGAAAATAAAGATGGTGATTTTTAAACTTATATCACATCAAAATGAGCTTTACAAAATCTCAGAAATAACTTTGTTAAAAAAATTAATTAGAGGTTTAACTAAAAAAATTAATTTTTTCAGTTAATCCTCTAGTTAAGGGGGCTGATGATTGATTCACAATAATTGTTGTTTCTTGGGCATGGAACAGTTTTTTCTACAAAAGCTGAAATTAAATATACCTATTATATGTACTCAAAAGAATTCTGTTTCCTTACGCTTGTTTTCCCAGTTCTCATGTCCAAATATTTCCTTTCTGATTCTATAAGATCTATTACATAACATAAGTAACGTTTCCAAATAACATTTTTTAGATACATTTTTAAAACTAATTTGGTGAGTTCACAACCAGAATTTAATATTTTCACTTACGGAGCATACGGATAAATTAAATACAATTTTTGCACTGTGCATGAAGCTGATCGTTAAGTAATTTAACGAACCTCTTCAACTGTAATTTATAATAGCATAAATATATAATTGGCACAAAAATTAATAATTGTAACGATTAGCAAGATTAGACGCTAATTTAAATAACTTTATTTTAAAGTGTTGCGTAAAATTACATTATAATAATTTAAAAAAATTCTTTCAGTTTTATACTCTTAATTTAGAAAGCAATCCAAAATTTAATAAAAGCAGTACAGGTAAGTACCTCTAAATTAGGTATACTACTAGTATTTTTCAACTCCTTAGTCTTGTAATTTTGAACCCAATCCAGAAGACAAGGGAACTCCTGGATCGAGTATTGGGAGAAATTTGCCTTCGTAGAGGACTTTTTGATGCAACTAACCCGCATTTGCGTTACATGGAGAGGAAGACCACGAGAACCTCCAACGGTTATCCTGACCGCAAGGGGACCTCTAACAACACCTCCTAGAAAGAACAGGCCTCAGCACGGATTGCCATAAATATCCCTTAGTAGTCCAAACGTAATGACATATTTTGTATTTACAACCACTGCGCAGCTCAGTACCCCTAACGTAATGACATCTTTCTTATTTTTCGTCTACTGCGCAGTTAACTTCGTCACATCGGACTACTAATTTGATCCGTGCTGAGGCCTTTCTACTTCTAGGAGGTGTTGCCTCTAACCCATGATTCGTCTATCACTGAGGATATTTCACGTCAGCACTGTGGTCAGTGCAAGCCGGATGCGGAATTCGTATGTACTGGGATTCGAACCTGGTTCACCTCAATGGAAGGCGAACCCTCTATCCCCTGAGCCATCGCGGCTCTGTATAAATTAATTGAAGTTATTTAATTATTCAAGTTAAGTCTAAATTTAATAAACTAAATAAAACCAAATTATAAAAAAACTAATAATGTATGAAAATCGCCAAATTTACTAATTTAAAATAAAATTAATAGTAAAAAACGCAATATATTTTATTCCTAATTATAAGTTTAAAAAAAAAAAGAAAATACAAGAAAAACTAATTTATCAAATTAAATAAAAACGGTGCTTAAAAGTTTACCAAATCCATGAATTATTACTAATTCACGGAGTATTAAGTTTTGAACGGAGAAAAAAAAAAAAAAAAAAAAACNAAAAAAAAAAAAAAAAAAAACGCAGAGGAATATCCGAATTTATAAAACAATAATTTGTCATATGAAAAATGTCGTTAAATAAACGAGTTACTATTAAAGAAAGAAAACAATTTCTTAATCTATCAATTTATTTAGTTCTATTTAAAACGCGCGGCCAAATTAAAGCTGAATTGTGATCATTCAGAAAAAAAGAAACAAATGTGTGAATAACATATGTTGTATTTTTAAATAAATTTTAATATTTTTGAAATACAAGAATACAGTTATAAATATATTTAATAATATTAAATAAAGAAAAGTTTCTCATTTAAATTTTTCGCGTGCAGGTCGTTGGGCTACCGAAGCGGGGGTGCCATCCCCTCTGCAGAGGATCAAAATTGTGATGGCATGTCTTCGGATCATCCTCAGGGATGTTTCCCAGACCGTCGCCAATAGCCCATTGTGCAGCTCTAGTGCGACGTAAATCAACAACAACTCATTTAAATTTATCGTTTTAATTGGGTATAATATAGCCTACGTCACAGGTTGTGTTGTTCCTACTAAATTTAACCCATGAACGGCATTTTCTGCGAGACTAACTTCAAGCCACAAATAAACAAACGAAGTGTTCGATCGTTTAAATAGCTGCTCGCCAGATTTTATTGCATTATAAAGAAAAGTTATTGAAACTAAATAAACAACAACAACTAAAACAAATAACAACAACTACTAATAACAATAACTAAATAAACAACAACTAAATTCCATTCGTTTAGCATTGCGTCATATGTTGTTCCTACTAAATCGAAGTAGTTGTGTTTTTTTCATATTATACCCAATTACGACATTCGTAATGCTTGGACATGTCTCAGAGTCGTCGTCATCTATTATCGAAACACTTGTGATAGTGTCGAAATGAAAACTTCATATGACGAGTAAAAACTTAAAAAAATTCTAAATGAAGAAAAGTTTCCTATTCAAATTATCTTATTTACGAGGGTTGCTATTTATATTTCTGGCCTTGGCAACAGTAAGTGTTGCTAGGCGACCGCAGACGATTTTAATCGAAAGTTTGATATTTTTAAACATAAATTCAGCAGACGATTTACCATTATAGCTTCATTTGTGTTGTTGACAGTAAATTGAAAAGTTCTTCTCTTTCAAAAAATGGAATTGAATCGTGAACATTTTCGTGCCATTATTTTTCATAACTTTCGACGTGGATTGTCAAGACAAGAGTGCTTCGATGAACTTAATTCTTTATTCAGCGATAAAGCGCCATCCTACAGCACTGTAAAAAATTGGTATAACGAATTTAATCGTGGTCGATGTTCGATCCAGGACGAATCCCGTGCAGGTCGTCCAAAATCCGTTGTTGTGCCAGAAAAGATCGATGCTGTGCGTGAACTGATAAAGCAAGATCGTCATGTGACATACCGTGAGATAGAGGCGTCTTTGGACATTAGTATGACTAGCATCAATAAAATATTGCATGAACATTTGAGCGTAAAAAAAATTTGTTCGCGTTGGATCCCGCATAATCTGACAAACGCTCAAAAAAAGGCTCGTGTCGATTGGTGCAAGGAAATGTTGGAAAAATACGTTCAAGGTACATCAAAGGCTGTGTATAACATCTACACAGGTGACGAATCATGGATCTATGCATATGAGCCGGAAACAAAACAGCAATCAACTGTATGGGTCTTCCAAGACGAGGCAAAACCAACAAAAGTTGTTCGAGGAAGAAGCACATCGAAACAAATGATTGCCTGTTTCTTCGGCATTAACGGTCATGTGGCAACAGTGGCGTTAGAGCAACGCAGGACGGTTGCGCAATTTATGCTTGTCCTTCAGAAAGGGCCCCGGCAAACATGTTAGCCCCAGGGCCCCGAAGGGTGAAGTTACGGCACTGCATACAAGACACCCGCATACCGCTTCATGTGTTTGACAATGGTTCCGTGAATGCCCCGAGGTACAGGCAGGAGGTACTAGAGCCCTATGTGCGTTGTGGGGGGCGGAGTTATCGACCATGTCAACCGTCATCTATGAAAAGGTACCCCGACATAGAGTCGAGTTGGAACGTTGGAAATGTATAGTAACTCAGTATTCGGCGCGAAGCGCCGCTAACTGATTCATCTAAATTTAATAGGCATAGATTAGGTAGTCATAAATTGAATAAGGTACAATGATATGATTGAGGAAGGGATTGGAGAGACTCCATTTAAGAGATAAAACTATATACAAGCACTAGCACATTTAATTAATTAATTATTTACAAGATGAATAACATTAATAAGCCAAATATATTAAAGTCAAGATAAACTATATACAAAATTATTTACAATATTTCTTGAATAGATACAAAATTATTTACATTATAATACATGGGGTAAACTAGGTAGCAAAAAACCATTTGTGTTATTGTTAATATAGTGACACGGCCGTCCCGGCAAATCACCGCCCGTGCCGGGTTGCTCACTATTCTTAGGCTAACAGATCTCTGGCTCCCCTGGATCGGACCCTGCGAACAAGGTTGCTCCTTCACCAGGTTTACCAGAGTTCAGGTGTAGATGTGTTGTTTGCGTGTGTAGTGTGAAATTGAGAATCATGGGATGTTATAATACTTTGATAGAATGCAATCTGATGAGAGAAATGCAGCGAGTGGGCTGTAATTTGAATTTTCGCTGATAATATCTGTGTCGAATATCTTATTAAAGTTTGCATCAGTGCAGTCCTGGGCTTTGTTATAGAATTTGGTATTAAGAGTGGCCATATAGTTAGCAATATCATCTATTTTCAGGTC